GAGGTTGACGGAGAAGGAGCTGAGAGGCAGAGAGACCCCGGGGTAAATGGTATTTTATGAGCAGAGAGTGGGCCTCTGCTTGGAATTCTCAATGACATCATGCTGGAGCAGAGCGTTGTGCAGATCCAGGACTCGGGAGATGGAGTGAGCCTTCACCAGACCAGACGGCACGGCTAGACTGGGCCGTAACACTAGAACGGGAAGCGGCACGAGAAGGCAGGCACACAGATGGAGTTACACCGACTTAAAGTTAGACTAAATACAAATCCCATCATTTCAGGAGAACCCTCACCAACAAGCCTCGCGCCGACACAGTCACGTGCTTTTGCTTTCAAAATGAGACCATGAAATTACTTCATTTCTCCCTGAAAAACAAACAAACTCCAGTTGGCTGCTCCCTGCGCTCCTCCAGCCAAATAAAGCCAATATCTAATGTCTGCAGACTTCCAAATCCCAAGTTCCTGCCTCTGCCTGCCTGCTGGGTGAGGTGTGACCAGACGGTTAAAGACCCCAGGTTTAAATATCTCGTCTTTTTGCAAGTTAGCATTTCAGCGATGGGTGGAGATGTGTAAGCCGAGCGTAACGTCTGCACCTCCATGAGGCATCAGCAGAGCAAAGGTCGCACGCTGAAATAGATCAGCTCCAGACGTCTGCCTCTCTGCACATAATCGTTCTGCACGACTGCCGGGCAAAACACCTTTTATTCACTTCTTTTGTTTTCGTCTCTAATTCTGCACCTTTTAGTTAAAACCTTTAAACGACGTAAACAGGAGAGTAGAGGTGATCATTTCAGAGCTTTGGCCTTGTAATTAGTAGAATCTTCATGTGTGTGTGTGTGTTTATGTGTGTGTGTGTGCCATGTGGGAGCCATTCTCCTCCGTTTCCTGCACCCGCTGTCATTACATAGGAAACACGTCTGACCCCAGCTCCCTCCTCTCAGAGGGGTGATAGTCTTGTGAACTCCGGCAACAAGGCGCTGTCAGTTATGAGCAGATCCTTGCTGTAAAGATGCAACATGAGAAGAGACGTACACTTGGTCCTATGCATGAAACCAAACATCGCTGAATGAAAGGGGAGGATTTATGGTGGAGAACTTTAACTCTGGAGTGATTTACGTGCAGCAGGAGGAGGGAAAGTCCCCTCTGGACTTTTTGTGGAGCACATTGTAACAATCACCTCTCAGCCCTGAAAGGATCTATTAATAGAGGAGCTTTTTATTTGCTTTTATCTTTACTGGAAGTCCTTTCCCCCCCGTGTAACGCGCTTCCTTAAAATATTGAAGCCACTTGTTTCCTCCTGCATACTCACTAGTAGTCCATTTTCATGTTTAAACTCATTTCCCCCCCATTCTACTTCACCTGCAGCTCCAACAGCCTCAGAAAGTAATTCATCCAAATCCTACCCAGCTACAAGCCGCCGTGCTTTTTCACACACACCCCTTCCCTGCACCCCGCCCCCTTCCATACTGCTCAGGGCCCGGCAGTAGCTCACACTCCACCATTTCCAAAGCCTCCACCCCCTTCTAACTCCTACCAGCCTGGCGTGCAGAGGATAGAGAAGGAAGCAAGACAAAAAGAGAGAGCTCTGTCAGAGATTACAGACTGCCACTTAGCTCTGGACCGTACGCGCCCGCCAGGACAAGAAATGGGGACAGCGATGAGAATCAGGCAGCTTCAAGCTAAAACAGATAGCAGTCTGGGGATGTTTCTGCCTGTTAGAGGACGCTTTTAGGCGGCATAGGGACCCGCTGATGTTTTGGAGAACATCATCTCAGGAGTGCTGGTCATCATGTGGTGTTTGCAGTGTAACTCAGAGAAGACCCAGTCGCTGCTGGAGCTGGAGCTGAATGGCTGGTAAGAGTGGTGTGAAAATGTGTTGTAGTTGTTGTTTCCCGCTGAAGGGAGAGACACCTGATGAGGCGTTGTTTGGTCAACAAACGGAGGGGCTTGTGTGGGGTTCCAGGAGGAGCCAGTGAGGAGGTGAGAAGAGGAACGGTAAAGCTTTTGGACCACAAACTTCAAAGAGCCGTTCCAGTTTCGACTCGCGCTCAATGAAAAGCAGATCATGTCCATGTGTGTGTGTGTGTGTGTGTGTGTGTGTGTGTTACTGTACAGAATCCATCTGTGAGCTATATTGCGTTGCATTCCTGTGGTTTATAGTGCCCCCCACCCCCCCACCCCACCCCTGCTAACTCGCTGGCCGTGACTGTGCTGCTTGGTTCAAGGACAGGTGCTGAGCGTGGAGTTGAGGACAGCTAATTATTTATTCCCCACAGACGATGGCTGAGTTGTTGCACACTGAGAGGCAGGAGGGGAGCAGTATTGATCTCTGATCACTTCAGAATCAGCAGATTCTCTTTCATTTTAAGTTGATGCAGCTGTACTTCACTAATCAAGCCCTCCGTTTGAGAGTCTGAGCTAATTATCCAGCTCTGCAGCATGATGAGCGCTTCTGCTCAGAGCTTTTAGTGATTCCTGTAATGTAAATAAAATGTTATGTTATTTATAGCATTTACAGCTTATTGGCTGTTTGATGCGAAAACAATAATAATAAAATTTCATCTTATACAATTTGTAATAAGCCACAAAATAAGCTAGTAAGTTATTACAAAGTAGAAAAAAAATAAAATTTTGTTCAATATCCTTAATTCTAATTTACCTCACATGCTCATATAATAATCTCATGTATATATATATATATATATATATATATATATATATATATATATATATATATATATATATATATATATATATATATATATATATATATGAGCATGTTGCTGATTGTCGTTTAACTTACACTTTATAAAGCTGCTGCATTCATTTTCAAATTTAATCATCCGTGTTTTCCTCAATTGATAATCTAATCTCTCTAATGATCAAATCTGAGTAATCCAGTATAAAATTACTGTTTATTAGTAATGAGAATAGATCAAATTCATTTTTCTTACGCTTTCTCAGTTGAAACTTTCCATGACGGCAGATATTCAGATGTAATCCGCAGTAAGGGAGTGTTGTGACAACAGTGTAAACACCATCAGTCGGACAAGCAACATTAGAACGTTTTTCATGAATGTTTTTGCTGCTTCTCATCTGACTATATCATCACAGCCAAGAGAGTATTTGAAATGAAGTAATCAGATGTTAATTAGCTTAGCACAGTTATTTTATTATTTAATGTGGCAAATGGCTGTAAGGTATTCTGAAAACAAACATTTATCCAGACATGTTATTGGCGTGAGCTTGGACCTTACACTTCTCGTCTTCCCGGGCTGTGGAGGTGAACACAACTATAAATAACTAATATTTGTCAAGCATGTTGTTAGAGATCACACCTACTTTTTGTTGCAGTTTGGCCTTAATCATGGTTTTGTTGAACAGTTTTTTTGGCTCGTCCTTCACCCTAAGTGCCTGGATCTGTAGAAACCTGGCTTCACTTCTTGCTAATCTCGAGAGAGGGTTCCAGGTGAGCTCCAGACTCCAGGACAACTTTGGGATTATTTAAACAAGTACATTTCATATAAGAGTCCTGTGACATGAAGGCAAACCCTTCGACCCATCGATGAAGAAATTCAGAACTCTCGCAAACTTTTGAGACATTTTAGGGGAAAACAGTGCTCACAAATGTAGTTTGTACAGTCGCTACCCAGTGAGGTTGTGTATTTCTCAGTGAAATCCACTTCTCATATGTAAGTTTTGAAATCCTTGTATAAATATGGCCAGATCGGATCTCCGGGCTTCCAAACAGTAGTCCGCAAACCGATGAGTGACGTCAAGGTGGCCAGTCAACATTTTTCATTCAGTCTGTGGTCCTCCAGCAGCCAGCATCCCACCTAGACACTTTCAGCTTCTGGTTTCTGCTGAGATTGGCTGCCAAAAGGCAGTTTTGTGGTTTATAGAGGTACTTGGGAATACTCTCACACTGAAAGTACACAACTGACAGTAGTTATCAACCATGAGCTGGAACGAGACTCCAGTCGACTATTCTTTTGCCTGCTGCAGACTCTCAGGAGCGGCGCTGTCAGCCAGCCGGCCGGCCTGCACAGCTTCCCAGGATGCAGCTGTGTGTCAAACTGTAAATTCCCATCTCACTCCTTTGGTGTCTTTTTATAGCCGTGACAGAAAAACTGCTGCTCTACGGAGAGAAAAAAGTCTCAAAAGATCTGTGTGTGTGCTTTTACCTTTATTTTCTGCTGAACTTTGATTTATTTGTGCGGTTTTCGCAGCTTCAATCTGAAAAGAAAATAGATTTTTACATGAGTGTGCTGTGAAATCTGGTGTGTTCATCTGTATTTATGAGCTCTGTGAGCCACTTTGAACAGGGGGGAACATCTGCTGATGTGTAGCTCGAAGCAAATGTCACTGCATGTGGGGTGATGGTGCTGTAGGGGGGGTCGCTTTACTGCCTGTGTTTATCTACACACACACAAAAAATGCTGTTTTTGTCGTGAGGTCAAGAGGGGTGTGATTATGTATTTAAGTGTTTGGAACAAGAGCTTTATCTTACATTCCCTCCTTAATTATAGGAAAACGTTGTTATCCTCATTAAAACCCAGCGCGGATGGATATGAATGCTGATGTAAGAGTGGAATGTTGTTTCTGATGAAGATACAAAGATTTTCTAACCAGCTTTCATTGTTCTTCGGTTATGAAGAGAAGCCAGATGTTCACTTAAAATTCAGAATTATTGCTAAAATAAAGATGGAATCCAAAACCCTCTGTCAGAGTCTGGTTAGACATTTCTTTGTGCCTTTGTTTGGGACTTGCATTAGTTCCACACTGCAGCTCACTCAGCCTGCTCTTCATTAGCTCTCTTCTGTTCCCAGAACTCCCGGAGATGTGACTCCTCTTTTCCGGGACATAGGAATGTTTCTCCCTCAGGTCCGACTGATAGAACGAGCTGAGGCCTGGTCAGGGGTCTGGGTCTGTTTGCTCAGGATGTGTTTTTTTTTGGGGGGGGGGGGGGGGGGGGGGCACCACCACCACCACCTTCCACTCCTCCAAACCCATGACCCTGAAACCCACTGCCAGCCATCCCTGCCCACTGGCCCCATCAGAAGGAACGGGCTGGTTTTGAAGTCGTCCAGAGGGACGGCCACTGCTAACGCCGTGGGATCAGATTTCAGGGCTGTATAGAATCAGGAGGTGGTCTCGAGAATACATCACCTCCTTAGTGGTTCTATCATACTTTATTCTGGAAGATACACCCTCTCCCTGGACGTCTCCCGTTTTTAATTCCACTTTGAAAAATCTCAACTCTTCCGCTTTCTTTCCTCTTCCTCATCATAGAGCTGACCTCACTCTGCTGGGTGTTTGGTGACCTCGGAGCAGAAAGTACAGCCTTTTCAGCTTTCATCCCTTCACAACCTGCAATCTCACACTGTCTGGATTCTTGGTTGAATGTGGAACAGAAAATATCTAAAAAGAGGGAAATTTCTGCTGGTAAAATGTTACCATGGGAGGCTTTTGTTAGGCCTGGCTTCTTTCAGCATGTTTGTATGACTGAGTGATAACACGACAAGTGAAAGTTTTAGTAAATCACAAAGCTGGAACATCATAACTGTCCTCTTGGTGGTGCCAAATTAGTTTACTGGGGTTTCATCCAAAGGTTTGGGCATTCGGCCGATCACTCGCCAGCCTGTGCCAGTGCTGTCCTGAGCTAAGTCAGATATCCTCACACATTCACAAACTTGAAATCAAACTTTTTTGTAGAAACTGCAGCAGCAGAAACGTATTCTGGCTCTGAGACAGCAGGCAAGGTGTGACTCTCAACTCCACAGATCGCAGCTTTGCGGTTTGCTGTGACTAATGGTTGGGGAGGTTTGTCCCAGTAGTGGTTGGGTAATGAGGAAGGATTTTCTGGTGTGGTTCCATCAGAATAAGAGCTCACTATTTTTGTCGTATTTCCACGTGCTGGATCACAGCTGAACACGGTCCGTACCTGCTACCCTGAGAATGTCCGTAGAAACGGCGCTGTTCCTGTTGATCCTCGAGGTCTTGGCATAAGTGGCACTTGTTGACCTTGGCTGGATAGGAAGGGGCATCCAAACACCAAAGGGTGCCTCCAGGAGGTTTGTGTGGGAAGGGAGCTGCTGATTTGCATGCAGTGGGCACTTAGACAGATAAGGAATCCCCTTTAATGTAAACCTATTTTATCTTATTGTACACAAGTTATTGGCTGTATGAAGGACATAAATGCAACATGAGCATGAATGAATAAATACTGCCTCTTATTCAGACTAGTCTCTCCTAAATTCATATTTATTAAAAATCTCATTGACGGACATCTGTCTGACCTCCACTTGGTGGTGCTGTTGCAGCCACCATGTTAGCTGCTAGAACGGGGGCAGGGAACCCTGGCCCTGGAGAGCCACTATCCAGCATGTTTTAGAGGTTTCCCTGCTTCAACACACCTGATTTGAGTCAGCAGGTGATTAACTGGTTTCTGCAGAGCCTGGTGAGTCTGTCCTGGACCAGGGTTCCCTGCCTTTGCGCTAGAATCTGACTGCTCAGGTATGATTTTGTAGAAAATGATGATCTTAATAATTCTAGCTGTCACTATCATGACCATATTAGAGACGACAACCCTAAATGTAACACTCACTAATTTATTCATCGTTTTTTCTTACATTATTAAGTGAAAACTAAAATGTGTTTACAATAATGTGGTGGCGTTCTTCTTTGCAAACAAATCCATGATGTTGTTTTTCATGGAGGAAAGGCTGGGACATAAATAGATGACAGGCAGCTGCTGTCCGATGTCTACACACTTACTCACATAACTGGGATGGCTGGCCAGGCTAGCAGCAGCAACATCCTACAAATATGTTCCTAAAGAAAGCATCATCATGAACAGATTAGAGCTCTTTATGAGCCTTTTAATTACTTTAAACTTCATGTCTTTGGTAATAAATCAACTACTGAATGACCGTGCTTATTTCTTATTGTTCAGTCTAGTGTAAACAGGATTTCACAGACAGAAAGTGGCAAGTTTTCCTGTTCAAAACAGACTAAGAACACACAGGATTGTTGTTTCATCACAAGTTGCAGAACGCCTCCTAAGAGCATTTTCTTTGCATTTCCTGGACACTAAGAGCTGGGTGGTGGTAGAGATGAACACATCTGCTCCTAGTTAACATCCTGATGTTTCATGCAGAGCCATGTTTGTTGCCACTCAGTTTCCTGTTTTCCACTATTAGTTGCTTTTGTCTGACAGGCCGTTTTCTCTAAACGTTTATTTTAGGCTGTCTAATGAAGGAAGTGGGATGTGTACACTGTGTGGGTGTGTCGAGTCACGGTTCACACACATTTGGCTGTGAGCAAACTCTGTGAGCAGCGTACCGTAGAGTAAAAGTAGTCAGGATCTTCACGATTCAGCCACAGCCTGTCTTTTTTCTGTTTTTATGGGACCGATGAAGCCGTATTTGCTCTGTGCAACTCTAAGCTGGACTTTGAATCCTGAACTGGAACAGTGTGCCGTTGCTCCTACGGCCATGATGTAATTGGTCTCTGATTGGTCATTTAACTCTGCATAAGCTTTGGTTTCCTGGAGGAGCTTGTGCACTCTGGACTTCCGTTCACTGTAAAAATGGTGGACAAGATCTGGAGGAAGAGTTGGCATTTTATCGAAAATAGACGATCATTCCGCAATAAACAGTCCTCTTATAAGGTTTCAGAGCATAAGAGCGTGTGAGTACCTCCCGTTTTCACCCGTGTTACATTTATTCATTCAGAAATGGTGGCTGTTCAGTTTTTGGTGTGTTTATGTGGCATTTTATGTTTTACATAAATTTCAATGTAAACCCGTAAATGAAGGTTCCTCTCACTTGTTTAGGCTTTAGATTTATGATGTCTAAGAAGTTGCACTCACGAATGCAGTTTAATTCTGTTTGTTTGTGGAACTCAAGGGTCATTTTAAATTCTTCATTTTAGAAAAGTTGATCACCTAAGGTACCTCCTGTTGACTTGAAAAGTCTTCAAACGTGCTTGTTTAAAAACTTTTATTGTTTTTATAAGCTGCTTAATTTTCCATTTTACTCTGATTACAGTGTGGAAGGGGATGGACGGCCTAGTGATGGCGGTCCTTCTTTGGATGGCAGAAGCAGCTACGGTCAGGGCCCTGTAACTCACGGCTCGGCCATCAGCCCTGACCGATTTGACAGCCAGCTTTACGGCCACGGGGTTCAACCCGGGCCACAGAGGCCCCGCCGGCCCAAGCTTCAGCACTCACAGTCCATTCTTCGTAAGCAGGCCGAGGAGGAGGCCATCAAGAGGTCCCGTTCGCTCTCTGAGAGTTACGAGCTCTCTGCTGACCTCCAGGATAAACAGGTATCCCTAAAGCTGTCACACCTACTTTGGGTAATGCTAGAAGTTTCTTTATGTCAGAATGTCTTTGACGATATGAAGTCATAGACCAACTACAGCTTTTAAATCTAATTCAAGATTTACAGATAATTTACTGCATTTTTTGCTAGGTGGAGATGCTGGAGCGCAAATATGGGGGAAGATTCATAACTCGGCATGCAGCTCGCACCATCCAGACAGCCTTCCGCCAGTATCAGATGAACAAGAACTTTGAACGTCTCAGGAGTTCTATGTCTGAGAACCGCATGTCCAGACGCATTGTTCTTTCTAACATGAGGATGCAACTCTCGTTTGAGGGCCCTGAGAAAGTTCACAGCTCGTACTATGAAGGGCGGCAGGTGTCAATGACGGAGGATGGTACCCCGCTGTCCATCTTGCAGTCGGAGCGTGGAGATGTAGATGTTCACCAACAGGCGAACATGACGTCTCATTCTGCACCGCAGAGCGACCTGACGGACACCATCACAGAGTTGGAGGATGCTTTCTCCAGGCAGGTCAAGTCTCTTGCTGAATCCATAGATGATGCACTGAACTGTCGCAGCCTTCAGGGGGATGAAGGTCCTGATCCTGAGGCCATGGGCTGCTCCAAGGTGGAGGGGGAGGTGCCCTATCAGGTGGTGAAGGCCCACCGCAGGGTGGCCGGACGGATGCGTGATGAAACACTGGCATCTTATAGCGATGTCACTCTGTTCATTGATGAGGAGGACATGTCCCCTTCTACGGCTCTGTCTAGGTCAGGTGACCAGCCGTCCAGCACAGAATCAGACATAAGGCTCCAGTCCATAAACTCCTCCCAAGATTATTGGCCTATTGACTCTAAAGACGAGGGTCGGGACACGGACACAAGCTGCCGCAGCACTCCGTCTTTGGACTGCCAAGAGCAGCGTCTCAGAATGGATCATCTCCCTCTATTGACCATTGAACCTCCTAGCGATAGCTCTGCAGAGCTCAGTGATCGCTCTGAACGCAGCTCTGTCAAACGGCCACCTGTATATGAACCCCACGGCCACATTGTAACATCATCCCAGGCCAGTCCCAAGCACATTTCCCATGGGCCCCCTCCTCGAGCCCCTCCCCGGGACGATGATGCGCCTCTGCGTCATTGCCACCGACAGCTAGAAAGCCACTTGGCTATCAATGGTTCAGCTAACAGACAGAGTAAGTCGGAGTCAGACTTCTCAGACGGGGATAACGACAGCATCAATAGCACATCGAACTCAAACGACACGATCAACTGCAGCTCGGAGTCCTCGTCGAGAGACAGCTTACGAGAGCAGACGCTAAGCAAACAGACGTACCACAAAGAGACTCGCAACAGCTGGGATTCGCCCATCTTCAGTAACGACGTTATTCGCAAGAGACACTACCGCATCGGCCTCAATCTGTTCAACAAGTAGGTACTGAGCTGAGATGAGCCAGGTGCTTCACTCGCACGCACTTGTTTTTATGTCAAACTCACAAAGACCTTTGATAGATGAACCGTGGAATACAAGTCAGTTCCTTGTATAAATCACAGGATTTGGTTTTATTTATGTGTGTCGCAGCGGAGACAAACTTGTGTTACTTCAGAGAAATATTACCAAAAGTTTAATTTGTTCAAATAGACAGAGATTCAAATTGACTCAAAGGTGTGGTTGACTGAAAACAACATTTTTCTAATGAATATTTCTGATTATTATTGGTCACTGAGATTTTCATGCTAGCTGAACAGGACAATAGTCTCCTACACTTATCTGCTGCATTCGCTAATGAGAGAAAATAGACGGTGAAACACTAGGATTTGAAAATCCTGACAGATCTACGTCACGCTGTGAATTCAAGAGCCTCTTCTAGAAAACATACCGCCAATAGGGAGCCTTAGGTTGTCAATAAAGCCTCTTTTATAAGACAGACCATCGCATCAGTACAGAGTGATAAATCCGAATTTGTGGGTCTCGTAAATGCGGCAAGGAGCAAAGGAGAAAGGTGATAAAACTCGATTCTGATGCGTTTAGCATCGTAGTTATATTGCCGCATGAGCCCCTCGCCTCTGACGGCTAAACGCGTGTCAGCCCCGCTAATCCCTTTGGAGCAACTGTGGGAGGTCCCCCCACAAAAGAGGGTGGTCGCGTTAGTGACGTACTCTGCGCGCCGAGTGCCGGCCGGAAGGGATATGAACACAGATAAACATGGCCTCTCACTCGTATCTTTCAACCACCTACAACATGGCAAACTGGATGGACGCGGAGGCCATGGAGCTTTTGGCCGTGCGAGCGGATGAACAGATTAGTCGCCTTTTTATGGGGACGGTGAGAGACAGCCAGCTGTTCGACAGAGTGGTGAAAACACTGGCTGAGCGGGGCGTCAAGCGGGACAAAAAGCAGGTCACATCAAAGCTAAAGGTCCTGAAAAAGAAATTTCATCAGTCTGACGCATCTTCCGTCTGACGCTGAATGCGCGACCCTGTACGTCACATGCGGGGGGGGCGCCCAGCGACCTCCCTTTATCCCGTCTTTGTTTGAGACGTGCCTGATGGCAGTATATTCTAGCTTCAGCTTTGCTACTATAAATGCCAAAATCCTCCCCAGGGAGCCGTGGCAAATCCCGTTTTACGAACGCTATGGTCCTGTAAAAACAGCTTAAGTGGTCTATGCAACGGTGGCGAAAAGGGGGTATGGGGCCAGTTCCTAAGCTGCCGTGGATTTCCGTTTAACGTGGACATAACTTGCTTTTTGTTGAGATCTAAGCCGCGCTCATGAAGTTTTTTTTTGACTAGGTGCTCCTAAAGGTGGCTGTCCTCCACAGTCCCTATGAACTGTCTAGTAATCTGAGCTCCAGCTTTAACAGAGAGAAGCTCCTGGAGCTCTGTATCACTCCAGTTTATCGCCTCAGCTGAATCTGTTTAAAAACTTACTGCCGTGTTTACTTTTTCATTTTCAGTAGTTTCCGGCCGGAGCTCGGCTGTTATTCAGCATGTGATCATGACACCTTCCTCTGTTGCGCCAAGGCGTAAAATGCATTCACAAGTCTTGTTGCGGTAATATTACTTCCACACATGGTGGCACGAATACCGCAAAAATTCCGCATCGCCATGCCGCCACTGCATGGCGACAGTATTATGTTGATTTGCCAGCATAGTGTGTCTTCTAAAAAGGCTATGGACTCACCGATCTTGACTCACGATGGGAAAGAGGGGTGTTGTTTTCACGTCCAGTAATTAGCAGACAACTTCCCGACCAGCACAAAGCTAACCGCTAGCATTAGCAACTCCAAAACATGGCAAAACTCTTTCAGGCTTGTGTTATTTCTGGAGATAAAACATCCATGTTACAAGTCACGTTGCTGTTATCCAATCCAAGGATAAATGTCCAAATATCAGGAAACAAGACTCCATGGCCTTCCATCTGAAGCTCAGCTGTGATGTGGGTAGCTTCATTTCCTGGTAATGGTGCACCAGTATAATGTTTCCCCACAAGAACGACTTACAAGGCATTTATTCCTACTAGAGACCACTACAAATGTATTGATTAAATAAGTCACCCACATCTTTAAATTAAGCTGATGGTGTTAGAGTGGTGTACTCCAGTGACAGATCTTTCAAGATTTTCATTCACTGGTATTAGTGTTTTAGGGCTTTGTGGTGTTTTGCTAAAAAAAAAAAAACTGTTTAATAATGAAGACTCGGTGAGGGTAATGCATTGGCATACTCGAGTAAATGATGTCTAAACTGTAAAACTAACTTGTTCCAAGATGTAATTTTCAGATAATTCAAGCAGTAACCGATTATTCTGTGTGATGTTAGCATTAAAAGTTAAATGGGCTCACTCTGGTGGATGCTGACTATTGCAGAAAGCCAGAGAAGGGCATCCAGTACCTGACTGAGAGGGGATTCATCCCTGACACACCGGTTGGAGTGGCCCACTTCCTGCTTCAGAGGAAGGGACTCAGCAGGCAGATGATTGGAGAATTTCTGGGCAATCGACAAAAACAGTTTAACAGAGATGTCTTAGAGTAAGTATGATCTGTTTTCATCCCAGCTAGATGCCAAGCATGCTAACAAGTGGACTTTTCAAAAAAAGCCACGTTAGTTCTGTTGTTTTTTTTTTAATTTCCACCTTTTCTCCTTGTGAACCAGCTGTGTGGTAGATGAAATGGACTTCCAGGGTATGGAGCTGGATGAGGCGCTCAGGAAGTTTCAGAACCACATCCGTGTCCAGGGTGAAGCTCAGAAAGTGGAGAGGCTCATTGAAGCATTCAGGTTAGGCTGCAAGCCATCGTTAGCAAAAATAAAATGCATCTAGTGATCGGAATCGGCCAAAGTCAGCATGGCTGGCTCAATCAGCGGTCACTGGTCAGACCTTCTGAAACTCAGAAATCTAATAGCAGCAATGAAAAATTTCCAACGTTTTTCCTGGTCTGTGATCGCACCATTGCAAAGGTCTAATCTACACCAGTACAAGAGTTGGTCTTTGTAATCAAAATAAGTGCATTTCTATATTTAACACATACTGTTCACAATCAAAAGATCACACTGGTACTCTGTTTTCGATTAGGAGATGTTTGTTAGTTGAAACTAAACTGTGATGGTTCAAACAGCGACCTACACTGATGCCCAAGAATATGAGAAAGTAGATTCAGGGTTGGGTGTAGAAACACAGAGAACTTGTTACAGCTTTACTTCTGCTTTCCTCTAAAAGCCACAAAGCATTTCCTCACAACCAGCTAGGCTAGTTTGCACTTTATGATCTGAACTCCAGATTTCTCCACAGCCAGCGCTACTGCATTTGTAATCCCACGGTGGTGCGACAGTTCAGGAACCCTGACACCATCTTCATCCTGGCTTTTGCCATCATCCTCCTCAACACTGACATGTACAGCCCAAATGTCAAGCCTGAGAGGAAGATGAAACTGGAGGACTTCATTAAGAATTTAAGAGGTTAAAACCATTTCAGAAGATTTGCTTACCACATATAAAGGTGTGTGTGTGTGTACATGCACCTTTGGCGTGTAGAGTGTTTTACTTCAGTTTTCTGTGCTCCTCAGGTGTGGATGATGGAGAGGACATACCTCGAGAGACTCTGGTTGGAATCTATGAGAGGATTCGCAAGCGAGAGCTGAAGACCAACGAAGATCACGTGTCTCAGGTTCAGAAGGTCGAGAAGCTCATTGTTGGAAAGAAACCGGTGAGTGATGTCCAGTGTCTTCACGTCAAAGTCACAAAGATGTTAATGAGTTCCTCTTTTTGCTTTGTTTCATTGCATACATCATCTTTGGTGTGTGTCTGAGTTTAGGTAACAAAAGTAGCTCCAGGTCACAGCAGCATGCCTATGTTTAGACCTTCATGCTGGTGATTTTAACACCCCTAAAGCCTCGGGGAGATGATGCCCAGTGATGCAGTCTGATGGAAAATGCACACTTGCCTTCATCTCATCATATTGTTCAGTGAATAAAGTTGCAGCTCCTAAAACCAGTGTTGATCCAAAATATTAGACCAGCTGAGTTTCTAGATGCTGCGGCCTTCAGGAGCGAAAGCAGCAGCTTCCAATGACACTACTGTGATGTGTGAAGGTTAGAGATGTTCAGATGGAGGAGTTAGTTTGAGTCTGAGTCTCTCCCAGTCATAAACAAATGATTAAATACACCGAAACAGTATTACGACAGGTTGTTTTGGCAATAAGAACATATAGGATTTAAAATGACCAGATGCACGATTGCTACCCCAAGGACGTTTTATTAGGTGTGCAGTTCTTCTACAGGCTCAGTAGAAATATTTATGTAACTAATTCAAATGTAATGTCCTCTTATGATGTGTGTTTTGTCCTTCATTCCTAGATTGGATCTCTCCACCATGGTCTTGGATGTGTAAGTAGTCCAATTACCTCTAACTGACCATTGAGTCTCATTATATTTGTAAATGTGCTCAACTTCCTGTATCTGCAGCCATTTATTACATAGCCTTTGTTCTTTATTACCCTGTAAACCCTAATAACCTGTAAAGTGTGTGTGTTTTTTTAGGTGCTGTCACTGCCCCATCGTCGCTTGGTGTGTTACTGCCGCCTGTTTGAAGTGCCAGACCCCAACAAGCCCCAGAAGTTGGGCCTGCATCAGCGGGAGATCTTCTTGTTCAATGACCTCCTTGTGGTAAAAAGAAGAAGAACAAATCTTTCCTTTCCCCCCTCTCATCTGTCTTTTACTCTTTAGACTTACCTTATTCTGTTTTTCTGTCTTTTAGATCACAAAGATTTTCCAGAAGAAGAAGAATTCAGTCACATATAGCTTCAGACAGTCCTTCTCCTTGTACGGGATGCAAGTGATGCTGTTTGAAAATCAGTGTAAGTTCTTCTTCTCAGCTGTGATGAAACGTGGAGTTGCTCCACGTGTTTTACTTCAGCTGAGATTCGTGACCCTTTGGTGCATGTCTGTTTGCCGTAACCTCAGATTACCCAAACGGAATCAGACTCACTTCGGCGATACCGGGCGCAGACATCAAAGTGCTCATCAACTTCAATGCTCCCAACCCCCAGGACCGTAAGAAGTTCACAGATGACCTGCGAGAGTCCATCGCAGAGGTTCAGGAAATGGAGAAGTACAGAATAGAGTGTGAGCACACACACACACACCTCAGAGCATGGTTGTCAGTGTTCCAACTGGTTAAACGTTTGCAGGGTTTCCACTTTATTTTGAACACAGAGGTGTTGTTGCACGCAGAATTTCATCCATAACATGACAGAGAAGTTCTTGTGTCTTCATGGTTGGTTTCTACAGCTGAGCTTGAGAAGCAGAAGGGGGTGGTGAGGCCCAGCATGTCACAAAGCTCCGGCCTGAAGAAGGAAGCCGGCAACGGGAGCATGAACCGCGCCAGTCTGGACGACAGCTATGCCATGGGCGAGGGCCTGAAGAGGAGCGCCCTCAGCAGCTCTCTGAGAGACCTCTCTGAAGCAGGTATGACCGAAACGTTTGCAGCGAACTTTTAAGGGGATAAAAATAGCAAAATGTTGATTCACTGCACCATACATTGATTTTAAAGTATCCTCGTTGAATCCATGAGCTCCCCCGTGACTGGATGGTTTGGTCTGGAAGGTGTTTGTGTCAGTGGTTAACTTCTGGATTTGGCGAATTTTGCTCCACACAAAGATTCAAGAAGATTTTTAACATCTTCCTTCTGAGCAAGGAGAACAACAATGATCCTGAGTTCATGTGGAAACATTTTTTCATGCATCTTCATTTGTGTTTTTATCTTTTCTCTCTGATCTGCTTAGCATCCAACAGCATCTCTGCTAAGTATGTTTTAGTCAGAAGTCACGCGTCATCTCCTCTCACCCACAGTAACCAAGACTTGAGACCCAGTCCACACCACCCTGGAAACGGGTTTAACTGATATTAGTCGTAAAGATGTCTCCTGTTCACGTTAGTACAACAAAAAATGCTGTTGTACCACAAAAGTGGCAGGAAAGCACACATTGAAGGTTCCCCTAAAATGAGTTTTTATTTTATATGTTTACAATTTCCTCTCAGTTAAGATTCAGTTTAATTGGTGATAAAATCAAGATTACTTGAGAGAAGCCTAAAATAATATAAAAAAGTTTCTGTTGTTGTGGTTTTTTGACTAAATAAACCATATAAATAACGCCAAACATCTCTGTGCCCTCGTTTAAAAATCAAACCACAAGATCTCCTTTGCTATCGCCACCATTATGCTCATTAGCCCGCTTACGATCAGGCTGTTTTTAAGCAAAGAGAACAAACTATTAGTGACTAAAGTTGTGGGGTAAAGGTAAAAACGATATGAATCGAGAGTGAATGCAAGAAAAAGGTATATTTTATTTTTTAGTCAGGAGATGTCAGCAGCTCTAAATACATGTTCCACTTCTCCCTCCTACGGGCTGAAAGCAGAATTAAAAATGAACACAGGAGAAGTCTCTGAGTTGTATCATTTCATGTCGCCTCGTGATTGGCCGAGTTAGCCAGAGACGTGGCTGAGACTCGGCTCTAGTGCAGTGTAGAGCCGCCGCGGCAGAAACACTGGCTAATGTAGATTATACCAGCTGAGCCAATAGCCATGGCTGATTCAAATTCAAATGTAGTGCAGATGTTTAAGCTGAAGAGGGCGCCACACTGACAGTTTAAGCCTGAATGCTTTTATTTTATAAAAGATGCACTAAAATGCCAAAAATAATTAACATTCATGTCTATAGCATGAATAAACATTTATGCCTTTTATTTGAGGTGACTTTCTCTTTAAATGATAAAACTATGCAGCAGATCATTTATGCACCTTTATTAATTCATGCAGTTCAGGAACTGCATGCTTATAAAACTTTCTAATGCATTTAGCTGCCTTTAATTAACAACTGCATGGTTTATAAACTCCCTGATTGTGCGCTGGGGGAGCAGGTGTGTCCATCAGCCCGACGCCTCATTCATCATTATTACACCCTTCTATGGGATCAACTGTTTGGAGACTCATCGAAACCCCACGATGTGCCGAAGCTGCAGAAAATCTTTATTTTTAAAGCCATCTGTGGTCGTGCCGAAATGGTTTTATTAGTCACGCCTTTCTAATGGTAGAGACCATTTCATATTCATGTTCATCACTGTAACACGCCAGTCTCTGTGCCTCGGAAGCAGGAAGACGTTTCACCCATCACAGGGAGAAACGGCCACATGAAGTTTTTTGGTGATAACGGTGAATTCCAGCTGGGATCATGATATTCCTTGTTGCTCTGATCGATACCTCAGCAGGAAGTCACAGGTCAGATAGTGAAGGAGACGTCCCCTCTGCCCTCCTGTCTCCTGTGTCTTTAAGTGCAGGATGTGGCATGTTAGTGGGGTCATTTGTGTTTTTTTCCTTTTCTGCCATAGTCCATTTCATGTGTATTTAACTGTCCATACACATCAGGTGTTCTCCTGTTTATGTGTGCTTATTGGTCATATATCACTGGCTGAGTGGGCCGTACAGTAGGAGGAGTGCTCCATTCACCCTCACACCCATACATGCCTTCACATCCTCTACATGCAGCTCTATTGTTTTTGTTACCGAGACCGGCTTTTTTACGGTCATTCCTTAATGATATAAAAACATTACAACCAAGTTATTCAGGCAAAAAATTAATTTATTAACAGGATTTTAGAATCAGGCAGCTGTGGACATTTGCTCAGTGTGTCAGGGTTAGCGCTCTTAAAAACACATTTATGCTAACGGATCCTATTTTAAAGCAGCAACCTCCAGTTTCAAGTGTTTTACATGTTAAAACTGCTGAAATCTTAAAGAACCTGCCCACCACCACCTTCTCAGACCTGAGCGCCCGCTGCCCTCACCCGCCCATATTCGGATCTCGCTCACCGTCCACTGCCCCCTACGGGACTGCTGGGAGGCCTAAGATGTCTGTAGTCCATGCAGAAATGCTGTCGATCTCTAATATTTGGTATTGCATGTCTCGGGCAGGCAAGCGTGGGCGTCGCAGCAGTGCAGGATCACTAGACAGCAATATGGAAGTAAGTTGGAAGCAGCTGGTATCTGAGCTACTCTCAATGTGATGATGTGCACTGTGACACACTCCATTTATTTTTTGGTCTTACTCCTTCTTTGCTTCATCGACTCAGTCCATTTGTTTGGATCATTTTATTTTTTCTCGATGGGATGCCTTATAACCTGCTTGCCTCAGTTAGTGTGCATGCATGGTTTTGCCTGCCTCTTATCCTGCCCCTCACTCCCCTCTCCACACACACACATACCTGCAGACACACTCGTTTTTGGAAGCCAGCGATCTCCTGTTTTGGTCATGATATATGACCAATTCACTTTAACCTGAAACAAGCATGACTCCCACTAATGTCTCCTCTGATCCCCCCTCCTCCACCCCTCCCTGTCGCCTGTCTGTCTTTCATTCATTCACATCCAAGCGGTTTTCATTTGGTTCTTCTCTTTGGCAGGGTGGTAGCTCTGAAAGAAACTAGGAAACTTCATTTCCTGCAGCCCCTCTCCCTGTCTGGGTCTGTCTTTTTTCTCTTATCCACAACTTTTCTTGGATGATGTGAGGTATTTTAGGGAGGAATGTAGCCTTCATAATAAGAGATGGGCTTGATGAGGACTTAGAGAATTATCATTCATTCATTTTTGCACTCATTTCATATTATGTCCATAAGTTCAGGTGGTGTTTTTTTTTAAGTTTAGGAGCCTCTACTTTCTGAGTTATTCACTAGTCTTCTGTTCTAAATGAAACACTGCAAAGAAAACACATTTTTACCAGTTTTGCACAAATGAGCCCAAAACAGGAGGCCGAGTGCCCAGCCCTGTTGTGAAGTCCGCACACGAGTGCTCAGTTCCTCCTGCCCTCTGACTTGTAGTTGAATGTGTGAATGATGAGTCTGCCCGTCACACCCTCTGCATGTGGAAACCGTGCCTTCATCAATAAAACACAAGCTGCATGTGTGACTCTTGGTAGGCACACCGGAGCAGGAACTTTTCAGTAAAACCCTGTCGGTGTCGTTTGTTAATCCCTGTAAGTATTTATGTGATGCTTCTGGTTGAGGTTGACTGTTTTTGGACTTCCTAACAGTTTCTTTGGATGTAGGCTCCCTTCTGTTAGCTGAAATATTCCTGCTGCTGCCTATCATGACCACGTTTTTAGTTTCTCATTTGCATGCCATGTAACATTTTGCTACTTCTTTATCTGAATTTTCAAAATCGCGTCCTGGTGATGCCTCTTGGCTGTGGTTGAATAGCTTCTTGTCTAGCAGGGCTGTTTTTGACGGGCATGTGCTTGTGCCTCCTGCAGGGGTCCATCATTAGCAGTCCACACACACGGCGGAGAGCCACCACACCACGAGAGGGCACTTCCCGCGGACAACCCTCCATCCCTAACTCGGCATCGACCTCCATCCTCGGGTCACTTTTTGGCAGCAAAAGGGGAAAGTCGTCATCTCACAGCCAGCATCCTTTGCCTCCACCCGGCCACCCCACCCTCATATCGCACAAGCCCCACCCGACCAACCTGCATCACACGGCACAGACGACACACACGGTGCAGTCCCAGCACCATGGCCACCATCCCCAGTACTGCCCGCTCCCACAGAATCCCCCGCCCTACCACCACCACCACCACTACCACCCGCCTCCACACACACAGTACCACCAGCACCCGGCCTACTCCTCCTCCTCCTCACACGCACACCCGCAGCACAGCCACTACGCCCAGCATTCCCACCACTCCCAGCACGGCTCCCACCACCACAGCCAGCAGACGGGCCCGGCGCACAGCGGGCCAAAACACAAACACAGTGGTATCAGCACCGTAGTGTGATGCTAATACACATTGGGGGGGGGGGGGGCTCTATGAAGGATGGACAATCGCACACACCAAAGGGACTGACAGCATAACTCTATGGCCTGCCCACTGTGTTTCAGCTGCTGTGATGGAAACCAGCCACACACAGTCACCTTCCTCACTTCCAGGTCCAGATAATATGCAGGATTCAAATCGGACTCAAATCTTCCAACAGGGGCCTTTACTAGTTCGCCTGATTAGGGATTTCACAGATCCCACTGGGATTTTGCGTGTGAGGGTGGAGGAGGAATTCTGCACAGGAAGATGCTCTTTGTTTTCCAGTCTCACCCACACACACACACACACACACACACACCGCCCAGCTGTGACAGCTACAGAGACGATGTGTCGTCTCTCCTCCCTGCTGCCTCGTCCCTCAGTAACTTGTCTTACTTTAATCGGGAGGAAAATGAGCTCAGATGAAAACGGTTTCCCATCCTCCTGTGCAGCCTTTCAGATCTTTGGTTTGCAGACCTCACCACCAGGTGAACGCATCCATTAGAGCTCAATATAGCAGAAGAACCTCGATGTAATCATTTCACACTAACGTAAGTCAAGGACAGGTAGACAACGCAGTCATAGTAGTTCTAGTGCTGTATTTACTGTAGATGACAGCTGTATGTTTTGTGTCCTAGCTCTCATTAATAAATGTGCCAACTATTAATGCATAATCTATTTAGTCATGTACAGTATATTGTGTGTAAAGTAAATTTGTAAGATTATACTTGCAGTTATTATCAGCAAAAATGACTTTTATCAGTATTAAGCTGACTCGGTGGTGTGAGGACGCAGATCTGGAAGGAGGGAACGTTCAGTCCAGCCTAGGATCTGGTTTTCTGTGGGAGCCCTAGGGTTGCAGCTGGTTGCAAGGTGCTGTTCAGTCCAACTCGAAGCCTCCAATTAAACATTTAGTGCAACCCGGGCTCGACTTGCACACTGTGGCGGCTCAAACAGCAAAGGATAAAGAACAAGAGCGATCCGTGTTTTACTGTTACATTCGGCTCCAGAGAAATTGTTCAACTGCCTTTAAAATTATGCAGCAGCTGCTTTCTAGGCTCGTAAAATCAGAAGTCAATCAATTTCTCCTGTTTTTTCCTCCTTGTTTAGATTATTTTCTAAGTTTGGCGAGCGAATAAAACCCATCTGTTCATATGTATTTTTTTATTTCCTGTGCAATATCGTTGCACCGATTTTGTACATCCAGAAGAGCAAACAAGGCTGCCCTCCTGTTTGTGTGTTTCTCATGTTACGTGTTTATTTATTTATCGACCCCCACCCTGTCAGTCTTTCTGTTAGTCCTCGTGGTCCTGTGAGGGGGTACAGACCCGGAGTTGGGTGGAATGTCTAGTCAAACGAGTCATTTTGCATGTGATGCTATTGATGTGAGGCGATCCTCTGCACATTGTTGAACAAATCAGTGTTACCGTAGAGAGTTTGAAGTGCAATCATGTTCAGGAAAACACAGATTTGTGCTCGAGAGAGCGAGTCTGATGTCCAGGATGAGATTGTGGCGAGAAGGAGATAAAGAAAAGAAGTTATTTTGTTGTTGACTAAGACTGATATAAATACTCACTTTAAAGTGGAAAGAAGAATGTGTGTATATATTTTAATAAAAGGAACATGCCTCTTCTCTGACCTGGACAAGCACATAAATGGTAGAACACGTTTTTTTTCCAGGAAATACAGTTATGATGTACCAAATGCAAGCTGAACAAAAGAACTAGGTATATGTAAAAATATCTTTCTATATTCTACAAATAAGAATTTATTCTAGTGTGTAAATTAGTGACAGTAAACTGTTCGTCCCAATATTCAGGTTGTAAATGTATTTTATTAATCATGAAGCAAACTTAGGCCATGAGTCGGGCTACATACACTTTTTTCCCCTCAAGACAACTTCGATGAGCAGACATATCACGTACGGGACATTAATGATCAGCTGAATGTGTCTTTCTGACGTTTTCATATCTTTTCTCTGTTTCTAGAATCTGGGGGTGATGTGAAACTGATGTGTTTATTTTGGTGTGTGTTGTAGTGCTTCAAATCCGTAACTTTTATTTATTTTTTTTTTATTTTTTTTTTGAGGAAAGAACCCCAACAATGCACTGCATGGATCTGATGCATCATGCATCCTGTTCACTGTGAGCTGATGGGGAAGAGTCAGCCTATAAATGTTCTCTTTTGGTCCAGAATTAATTATTTTTTAATTGGGGGGGGATCTTTCTGATGTTGATAATGCGTTTATTGTTATTCCATGTTTGCCTGGTAGGTATCCGCATGCATTTCATCGAATAAGCCATCGTGTAAATTCCAGACATGAAGAACATTGCACTTTGTTTTGCTGAGGGCTTCATCGTGTAAATATGGAGATTTTGATGCGCAAGCCGATGAACTGCTTGGTGAGAGTTTAACTTTATGAAGACTGTAAAGGGACCAAAACTGGGGTTAGAGGGGGTGTACATAATGTCTATATGATCAGATCTCTGCAGTAATGGTAAGGAGGTGCATACATACATCACTTCCTGGATGGATGAAGTGAGGGATGCTAACTGAACATATCGACTGTCTCTGCCTTCAGCTGTTAAGAACTGATGTTTGCTGTGGAAATCAAAAACAGACTGTTAGAAAGTGTGCTGCCATTTACATTCAGCTAACCTCCCACCCCCTAACACACACACACACCACACACACACTCAAATGGCTGCGAGCTGTTGAGTCAGCCGTGACACACCTTTTGAAGAATGGGAATGACAGGAACAGCATCATTTTAATGTGCATTCTGTTTGTACAGTGAATGTTGAGTCAGTAAGACCCGAGTTCTTGTAAAACTTCAACTGTGACAATGTTGAGAAAGCAAAATAAACAAATATATGACTTCTGGTACCCTTGCTGGTTTCTTTGTGATGCTTCATCTTTCAGTGTTGGACAGTGTGGTCTGCTGAGTCAGATGAGTAAAAAGGAACAGGGTCGAAGACGTGTATTAGTTAAATGAGGCCCCAGAACTGTTGATTTTATCTGATTGACATCGTCTGTCTGGGTTCTCACACAGTTGTTTATCTGCTTGCATGTAAAAAAATAAAAACATGCCTGGTCATTGAACTGGAATTGAATTGGGAAATATTATTACGTTTTATGTCTGGCATCATAAAAGAGGATGCATCAACTTTAGTTTTAAGAATCAATGCTGCACCATTTACTGACTTTTTGGTCCTTTTGAAATTTGTTTCTGTGTTCTAAAAATTTTCCATTGACGGCTTCTCGAACGTCTGCTGTTTGTCATCCAGGAACAATAAGCTAACTGCTAGTCGGAGCACAGCCAAAACCAAAGTGTATCGTTGCAGACCTACAACAAATCCAATCTGCAAAATTTCACCAATATTCATGTCATGTAATTATTTTATAAATCTTGACACCACTATCAGCTTAGCAACCTTGGATTTTTACAGTTATCTGCAAGCACAAATATCGCCAGTAGCAGCAGCAATGTCCAGCAAGAATGTCTTCATAATTCTGCTAAATTAACCATGTTTTAAAGATTTTTTCCCTTAAAAAAAAACCCCACAGCCAGTGAATGTTGGGGCAAGTCAAAAATGTATGTACCCAAATTAGCCAATGGCTAGACTTTATCACTTGTTCAGTGAGGCAAAGAACGGGACTCCTGTCAGTACCAGTCTTACCAGTGTGCTTCTACTAGTTTATAAATCACTCAATGGCAAGGGGCCAAAATACATGTTGGATCTAGTTGCAGGTCATAAAATAGGTGCTGGTCATAAATTAGAATATCACGGCAAAGCTGATTTATTTCAGTAATTCCATTCAAAAAGTGAAACTTGCATATTAGATTCACACACGGACTAATATATTTCACATGTTTATTTCTTTTAATTTGGATGAATATGTCTGACAACTAATGAAAATCCCAAATTCAGTATCTCAGGTGAAGGTTCAATATTGGAGCCTCCTGGTGCCACACTTCAATCAAGCTAATTACCTCAAAAGACCTGCAAAAGCCTTTAAATGGTCTCTCAGTCTAGTGCCACACAATCATGGGGAAGACTCCGGACCACTGACACGTTGCACAAGGAGGGCAAGACACAAAAGGTCATTGCTAAAAAGACTGTCTGGTCACAGAGCTCAGTGTTAATGAATTTATGTACAGATTGTGTGTTTGTCATTTTTAATCATGCATTTTTCTCAAATCCCAGCAGGAATCTTTTAGTTTGGAGATGCCTGCTGTATCCTCTCTTCTCCAGATCTGCCTCACAACACCAGTCTTCTAAAAGCAGTTAGCAGAACTGTCAATGCAGTAGAATTTATTTTAAAATTGAGTTTTTGAATTTAAAGCCCGCATCTCTTAGATTAAAGTCTCCAACCCTTTATTCACCATGAGCTACTTTTACACAAAGAAGGCACAGAAGAGACTATTGTCATACGTTTTATTCAACGTGTTCCTTTCCATGTGGGAAAATGCTCACCATATATGTAACATGTTCAAAGAAGTTGCAAAGAACATACAGCAGCTTGTATTCGTTCATAAGTTGCTTTTGCAATATTTCAATACATTAAAATTATTGTAAAAAAATTAAAAAAGTGACATTTCTTTTTTAAAACTCAAACTAAACATATTTAGTTTTTTAACTAATTCAAATTCTGATACTTTAAGATGAAATGTGCATGATTTATCAGAACCGTCTGACCACATTTAACCAACTTCACATGAGCTTTATGTTGAATCATCCATCAGTGAGACAACTGGCACTGGATCAGCCAAGGAGCTGTATGCAGGAGTGCACCCTCCGAGGTTCGCTCTGATGAAACCTTTTATTTGCTCATCTGTCGTTCTGCATTTGTACTTTAATTTTATGACGTTCACGTCGGGAAATGCCGATTTGCACAAATATGTTGACCCAAACAAAGCAGCTATTTTCAGAGCAGCTTGGTGAAGATTTTTATAACCAAGCTCCAGAAATGCTGCGAGCTGTTTGGGTTTTAGCTGGGCATTCTTTTGGAGTTTTAGGTCCTCCATTTCCAACTCCATGAAGTCAACGCCGAGAAGTTCTGCCATCTGCTCTGACAACAACATCCACATCCAGGAAGTGGATGTGGATGTAACACCTTCTTTACACCTTCTCATTTCCTACTCGTCAAATACTGATGCTTGGTCACAGAGGGAGCCTGACCAAGCGTCAGTATTTGATGAGTGAGTGAAAATGTGTCAGTTTGTTAAAGAGCAAGTCACCCCCTAACAGAGTCTTACTCCACGTCGTAGTGTACCTCTTAGCCAATAGTGATGGCAGACTTAAATTAAAATGCAGTGCAGAGTTTTTACCTGAAGAGGGCGTAATGCTGACAGTTTTAGGCAGAATATAAAAATTTTAACTAAGATGCTAGCCTGGCAAGCCAGACTAAATAAATGTATTATTTAGTCTGGCCACGCTCCATTGACGGCTCTCGGTTGTGGGGCGGGTTCTACCGTTGTCTTTCAAATGATCTCCGCATTCCACTGGACAATGAATGTGACATCCTCTTGTTTCACTCTGTTGCATCATCCCACCCACCAGGCATATAGAGTGCCCTGATTGGCCCACAAAGCGGATAAAGCTCTGTGATTTGTTCACTAAGCAGATAGAGCACTGTGATTGGCCCACCATTATGCACCAATCACAGCTCTTTATGTGTTTGAAACCCCTCTAGAGAGTTGTGATTGGCCAGCCAGAGTCCTGGTAGGAGCTACGGTGGTTCCAATGGAGCATGCCTAGACCATTCTTTGCAAAGCAAGAATTTGGTCTAGTTCACTAGGCTACTAAGATGCACCAAAGTGCCAAATTACTGACATGTGTCTACAGCATGATTAGACACTCATTTATATAGTTTATCAGAAAAAAAAACATTGCTTTGGGGGTGACTTGCTCTGTAAACTCTTCTAGTATTTCTGTCTTCCCCTCTAAATGACCACACTTGGATCGCTCACTATTTTAGTAGAAAATCTTAGATTTGTGATATTCTCCTTTATAAAAAAAAAACCCGTCATGTCAGAAACGTGCCCCTGAAGCAGCGTGTTAGCAGCACGTTTATACCCAGGGAGCTCCTCTGCCTCTATTTTAATAGATAACCTCTTATCTCTTTGCAGCAGATGGATTCCCTCCATGCCACGGGACCCGTAACCGTCTGGTGTCATTGGTGAATCCTCCACACCGACGCGGCTCTGTTTTCCCTGAGCTCACCAACACATCTGTTAGAGAGGAGAGAGAAGGAAGAGTCGGAATAAATTTAATAGACTTTAATCCACAAACGACCAAACCGAAAACAGAGACCTTTTAAGGATGACTTATTTAACAAAAAGTAACCTGGAGGTTGGCTTGACTCGAAAAGGTTTGAGTTCTTGTTTATTTTTAAAGTTTAAAACTTATTCGATCGCTGTTTTTATTTACTTTTGGGGCCATCTCTCGGTGATTCAGGCTCTTATTTATGGGCTCATGCATAAACAACATGGTAGCTTTATTTAGCGATATTAACAGCAATGTTTTTTTTCACATTTAGCTCATCATGACAAAGAAAACAGGGAACTAAATTTTAGTGCTTTTCTCATCACCTGTATTTAAGAAATGGTGATGTTTCTAAATGTTTTAACAAAACCTCAGCAGTTAAATAACTGGAATCATATATGAATCAGGACAGATATATGTGTAAATCTCTGTAAAAACGGTGGTTCTTCACCAAATATTTACTAAAGAGGAAATTCAGATAAGAGGTGAGGAGATCTCCTACCTAACTGGTCTTATTTAGACCTTATTCCTGTTCTTTATGCAAACCTTTGGATCCCTTTTCCTTCTCTGTGTTTCAGGATGCTGCTCTCCACCTTAACCTTGGCTGTCCTCTTCACCTCGTCGAGTTCTCACAGGACTGTTGAGTCCTGCATCTTCTCAGTGATCCAGCCTGCTGGGCTGCACGTGAACTGCAGCTCTTTAGAGCTCACAGAGCTCCCTCATCTGCCTGCAGACACCACGGAGCTCTATGTGCAGAACAACAGGCTCACCTCGGTGTCTCCAGGCCTGTTGGACAGACTACGGAGCTTGAAAAGGGTCTCCATGTCCCCGAACCCCTTTCACTGTGACTGTAGCATCCAGTACCTGAGGAACTGGCTGCTGAGGAACAAGGCCGTTGTTGCAGAGGAGCCTCTCTGTTCCAGTCCGAGCTCCGTAGCTCAGAAAACCATCACTGAACTTTCTGACAACTATTTCTTCTGCTGCACGTTTCCACTTGTGCATCATGTCATCACCTCCAGCTGTGTTAACACAATACACAACACCACTCTGGGCGTGGTGCTACTCTGCCTCATCCTTCTGCTTGTGTGGAGCTTAAACCTGGCCAGGAAAGCCACCTACACGCTGTGTCTGGGTGAAAGGCATTTAGGACTGGAAGCGGAGTCTTTGCGCTCACTGAGGCCTAAACACAGGAGGAGGCTACACTCAGGCCTGTCGGAGGTCACCGACGACTCGGATTCTCTAACCTGGTCGGAGGACTCGGAAAGGCCACTCATCAACATGGACTTACTGCCACAAGTACTGGAAGTGTTGCACAAGAAGCATAACATAAAGATAAAAGCCAGCTAACAGACGTCTGTGGCGAATTACTGTGAAACTAAAAAGCTGGGAGCAGAAAACTGGATTTAAATATTAGGAATAAAACTGATGAACAATGCAGCCCTAGTTTGTTTGAATAACCTTCAGAATTCATTAAAACACATCAGGAACTATTTTAACAAATGATCCGCTTCAGGTTGTCGTCTTCTCGTCACTGGGAGTTACTTGTTTTATTCTGAATAACCCTTTTACTCCTCAGAGCGATTAAATATGTCAGCACTGATTCATACATGAACACCAGAAGAGTTACTGCAGCACAAAAACACTTCAGAGAATTAGTGATTTCTCATAGTTTAGGATGACTTTCAGTAATATTTTATCAACACGTAAAGTGTGGAAGGGGCGCAGAGTGAAACTGGGTGGAAAAATAATCTTTTTTTCAAAGCTTGCTGAGTTTTTGTACACATGGAGTGCATAAGGACCAGAACTCACTGGGACGTCTGTAGGGTCGCCGAGTTTTTGCTGTGTGTCTTCAGCACCGCAGCAACATTAACCGGTTCCTTTATGTAACAGATCCTTCATCCCATCAACAAGCACACACGTGCTGTTCAGAAAATTAGAATATCACGACAAAGCTGATCTATTTTAGTAGCTTCATTCAAAAAGTAAAAACATGTTTATTAGATTCATTCATTACACACAGACTGATATATTTCACATGTTTATTTCTTTTATTTTTGATGATTATAACTATAGGGGTGGTACTCAATTAAAAAATAATCAAATTAATTATGGGCTTTGTAATCAATAAATCTTAACTAATCGCATTTTAATCATTCGGGAAAATGTGCCCTCAAAAGAATTTTTTTAATGGAAAATAATGAGGCAGATAATCAAACATTAGACATGGTTATTATTACTGTAAACTAAAGCTTTTTCCTTTCTAAATAAATGCATTTAATTATTCAAATATCACTTTGGGGACATGAAACAAGACCCAAATCAACTAAAATGTATAATTGAAAATGGAAAACACCTGCAAATGGTTCCTGAGCCTTTACATTGTCTCTGTCTAGTTGAATTACTGAAATTAACGGACTTTGCACCAGATTCTAATTTTTCCACTTTCACTTGTTTGTATAATTGGGTGTTTTTTATTAGCATTACTCATAATGTAGTAAAAACACATATATAAATAAAAATCCTTAAACATGACAGGCAGAACAGGCACAAATATGATCTAGAACTTAAATGTACTTACTTTTAACACCAGAGCAAGCGTGACACATTCAGACAATGATCAAGAACACCAACTGGTTCCAGTTGGATGACTGGAGGATGATGGGAAGATAAAAGATCATGACGAGGAAGTTTTGTTCTGACGCCTGAGCGGTGAACAGGTGAGCGGACCTTACTTACATGGGTCCGCTGTCACGTCAAGAAGGGGACTTTAGACCTGCAGATTCATGCCTGCAGCAGAGGATCTGGTGTGATCTCCAGCCTGATCACAACTTTCTCGCTTCTCGCTGCCCCTGATGTACTTAAGCATCCACCCCTTAGCCGATGACCACTTCAACACCTCACTGCTTAATAATAGTAATGCATGCAATGTTTAGACTCAGAAACATATAATAAACTGACAGAATAGTTTAGAAAATTATCAGAAAGATTTTAGTGTTTCTGTCCCTTTAAGACACGTTGTTTGTGATTGTTTACAGAGTCGTGAGCACACGGAGCATTTTTCCAGTAGTTGTAGTTGTCAGGAATGTTTTTTTTTTTTACAAGTTAAGAAAATATGCTGACATCTTTCCCAAATCCTGCATCAGTCCAAGCAAGGCATTTACATTTCTTTCCGTTTTTTTTCTGCTTTATGTTTATGTTTATTCATTTAGCAGACGCTTTTATCCAAAGCGACTTACAGTTTATAACCTATAGGGCATGTTGTGATCTGTGAGAGAAACCGGAGTACCCGAATGAAACCCACGCATGCATGGGGAGAACACGCAACTCCACGCAGAAAGGCCGCAGCCGAGCCGAGTTTCGAACCTGCAACCTTCGTGCTGCGAGGCAACAGTGCTAACCACTGCGCCACCATGCAGCCATTAACAGAGCACTGCGTTGTGTGCGTGAGTGATATTCAGTCTACGAGGAACTCATGCAATGACAAAGGTTCCGCCTTGCTTGAAATGCAAACTATAATGAAATCCGTGAATTTTTTTAACTCATCATTTTTTCTAATTAATTAATCATAATTAACGCGTTCAAGTCCCACCCCTAATTATGACTGACAATTAATGAAAATCCCAAATTCAACATCTCAGAACATTAGAATATCAATTAAGACCAATGCAAAAATTATGGACTTTTAGAAATTGTGTCAAACTGAAAAGTACGCACACGAAAAGTATGAGCATGTACATCATTCGGTGTTTAGTTGGGGTTCCTTTGGCCTGGATTACTGCACCAATGCAACGTGACTTGGAGTCGATCAGTCTGTGGCACTGCTCAGGTGTTATGAGAGCCCATGTAGCTATGATTGTGGCCTTCAGGTCTTCTGAATTGTTGGGTCTGGCGTATTACAGCTTCCTCTTCATGATACCCCATAGATTTTATATTGGGTTAAGGTCAGGTGAGTTTGTTGGCCAATCAAGAACAAGGATACCATGGTCCTTCAGCCAGGTACTGGTAGCTTTGGCACTGTGTGCAGGTGCCAAGTCCTGAAATGGAAATCTGCATCTCCATAAAATTGGACAGCAGAAGGAAGCATGGAGTGCTCTAAAAGTTCTTGGTAGTTGGCAGCATTGACCTTGGACTTCAGAAAACACAATAGACCAACACCAGCAGATGACATGGCACCCCAAACCATCACTGACTGTTGAAACTTCACACTAAACATCAAGCAGCATGGATTCTGTTCCTCTCCTCTTCCTCCACATTCTGGGACCTTGATAAATGAAAAATTCACTTTCAACAAAGAACATAACTTTGGACCACTCAGCAGCAGTCCAGTCCTTTTTGTCTTTAGCCCAGGCGAGATGCTTCTGACGTCTGTTCAAAGTGGCTTGACATAAGGAATGCGACAGCTGAAACCAGGTCTTGCACACGTCTGTGTGTTGTGGTTCTTGAAGCACTGACTCTAGCTGCAGTCCACTATTTGTGAATCTCTCCCACATATTTAACTTTGTTTCACAATCCTCTCCAGGGTTATATCTATTGCTTGTACACTTTTTTCTACCACATCTTGTCCTTCCCTTCACCTCTTTATTATTGTGCTTGGACACAGAGCTCTGTGAAAGGCCAGCCTCTTTAGCAATTTGTGCCTTGCCCTCCTTGTGCGAAGTGTCAATGGTTGTCCTTTGGACAACTGTCAGGTCAGCAGTCTTTCCCATGATTGTGTAGCCTACGGAACTAGACTGAGAGACCATTTAAAGGTTTCTGCAGGTGTTTAGAGGTAATTAGCTAATTAGTGTTACACCAGGGGTCTTCAATATTGAACCATTTCACAATATTTAATATTCTGAGACACTGAATTAGGGATTTTCATTAGTTGTCAATTCTAATCATCAAAATTAATGACATAAACATTTAAAATATACCACCCTGTGTATTGAATGAATCTAATATACAAGTTTCACTTTTTGAATGACGTTACTGAAATGAATCAACTCTGTGACGATTTTCTACTTTTATGACCAGCACCTGCGAATCTACATTAGCTTTTGCTAGTTTACATTAATAGCCCAGTGAGTCCCTATCAGCATCCTGCTGTTGTTTATTAATGTGCATTTTTTTATCATGAGCTGTACCCATTTTATAAATATTATTTTCTTCTAAGCATGTGTAATAAGCTTGCTATATTAGCACATTGCTGTTTAGCTGATTCAAATTTAGCCTGGTTTTAAAATGTTTCAAAGGAACAGATGTTAAAAAGAGTCTTATGTGGAAAGTTTCTAAACTAACTTACCTGTTAACAGCTGTCTGGACAGTATAACTTACCCCATAACGAATTTTAATGCTGTGGAACGGTTAATAACATTTACCTCCATTCAAGTGCGGTGCATCAGGCACATAGGCATGATAAACCTCCTCATTTGATCCATTTCTACAAAACTTCAAATGTAGGAGGTGAGTTCTTAATCTGCTGAATTAGAAATAATCCAGCCACAAGCAGAGCACCTGCACCTACGCTGATTTTAGTCAGATAGCAGAAGAAACAATAGATGTCTGCTTTTACTATGTAGATGAAGTCTGTGGGTTAGAGATTACATCGGTCCCAATCATGTGGCAAATGTTTATTTCATAATGCGTCTGAGGTCAGGAAGCAGCACTCTGGAGCAAATACAACTACCACATTTGGCACAATATGGTTTACAGAATGTTGATTAATTCCTTTTTCAAATGAATAATAAACAAACGAAGTTGGCACAAAACCAGAAATTCAAGTGCATCACCTGTGGCGCTGGTCTATGCCTGTCTGCTGAATAGTGTTCTCCACCGGTAAAGATTTCTGCTTTCTACCAAACACCAGACCTGGTTTCCTTCAGCAGCCGTTTAAATATTTGTGTCTAAGAATAAAACAAAAGAAACATCTGACCATCATTAAGGCGGAGTGAAATTATTTAAATGTCTATTTTAAAACATCCTTTTAGATATCAGCTCTAAACTTTTGGTAACTGCTTAAAATAAAAATGTTTTATGTTAAAAGTATAATTAAACATCTAATAATAATGATCATGTTATTTTTAGCTTAAAGAAAAAACAAATTAGCATATTTTTAAAGATAAAGTATTTACAGTGAGTGGATGGCCTACTAAGCGCTTTCAATGAGGCTAAATAAGTGTCTTCCTAGCTTTTGTTTCTGAAACAAAAGTCTGGGAGTAAAAAGTGGAAAGTCTGTAATGTAAAAAACAATCTATGGCTAGAAACGATAAGCTAGCAAACCTGAAAGATCTGTGCAAATTACGGTTCATGGCTTTCACAACTAGGCAAACTTCGGACAGACGCTACGATTAGAGGATGATATTGCACATCAACGGTTGAGTTTACAGTAAAACATCTACTCTCACGTTCATGCATAGGTTTAAAAGCAGAAACAAATGAAATAAAAGTCAAACGTTATTGGTGTATGCTTGCCTAAACACTGGAACAGACTTGTAATAAACAACACGGCTTCAGTGTTTTTAGAGAACACATTCCCTCGGTAGGGAGGAGCTGAATGAAAACATCACAGAAAGAGGAGATGATGGTAACAGTTAGTCGTTTTCTCTTCTGTCTTAATGTAACATTAAATTCTTAAGATGACCTGTTTTATCAGTGCCTGTTAGTTAAGTCCACAGTGTGGCACCAGCACAGTGTCACTCCTGAAGTGGTGTATTCCCGCCGGCGCCGCCTCAGCCCAAAGCACTGGCCCACTGAACTCCAAACCCTACTGAGGCACAAACTTCTCCTGCTCAAAGATGAGGTCGACAGCTTCTGCCACGTCCTTCACGATGTGGCCCGGCTCCACCAGCGCGGGGTCAAACCTGAAGTCCCTGTGCCCGTGGAACACGGTCTCCTTGATGCAGCTGTTTGCGTCGGACGGCACCGCCGCGTTAGGATTGTACACCCCCGTGCAAACTAGTATAGACTTACAGGAAGTGGCAGAAGGCAGCGCAAGTTCGCTTTCCCACAGGCTGTCCAACTCCTCTTCCCTGGGCACGGTGGCACTGGACCCCGTGGCAGCCGCAACCTTGGCAACAGCTTTTGGGTTCTTTCTGGCAACTCGCTCCTCTAGGAATCGATTGTACATATTGGCTCCGTATATATCAGTCATCAGGTTGTCTCTGAGGATGAAAGGAGGGAAAATGTTTCACCTCTTTGCAGCTGATGAAGGGAAAGCCAAAAAGCAGCAGAAAAGAAGAAGTGAAAGAAACACACACGCTCTGAAACTAAAACATCAGATTTTTATGCTAACTCGTGCGTGGCCAACCCAATCAGCAGCTCATTTCCCACATCATCAGTTAGAAACAAAACCACATGGAAGTACCGTTTCCTCTGCAGCTCCGTACCTTTTCTTTAAATGAAATCTGTCTGCAGAGAGAACGTGACAGCTCACCCTATAGCATAAAGGGAGGTGATGGGAAGCTTCCACTGCCTCTGCTCAGCCTGGCTTCTGATCAGGAACTCTGCAAAATGATAAGTCAGTTCACTGGGTTTTCCCATGAGAGCCTCATACTTCAGGTCTCTGCCGGTGATCTTCTTGTAGATGTTCTCGAGGCACACGAGAAACGTCCCGTGGCCGAACCTGAAAATGACACCAAACTGCTGCGTTCACCACAAAGACCAACAGCTTCTGGGTCAGCACTGGTTTTATTTTTGCTTCCTCTCAGAATTACCGTGGCGAGTTGGCCTCGGCCATCCACATAAGGTCCATGTTACAGGCCAACAGGGGAAGGTGAGGCGTAGCGTGGGTGTGGTGAGGACTGCTGAGGTTGCCGTTGGTCAACAGGACGTCTATTATCAGCTGCAGGTGGGTCTCCCATCGAATCGGCTCCCCGAACAAAACCACAGCTGAAACGTAGACAAAGTTTAAAAGTTTGAGATTTCAAAGTTGAAAAAATGACACAATGATGAAAGTTGTTCTCTACCTTCGACTTCAGGAAGGGAAACAACAGAACTGGACTGAAACGAAAGAATGAAACCTCAGTATGTGCTTTGTCACACCACTGAATGAAGGCTAAAATGTCACCTACAGGCAGTTTGGGTCGTCTGTTGTGATCCACCATGTCTAGCAATGGAAAGGACTCCCTCACCATGTCGATACTGACTACGTTCTTAAAGCCCACGCTGAAAACGGAACATAAGGAGGAATTAGAACAATCATCATGTTTCAGGTTAAAAATATTATAATGACTATTCAGAGAGATTCTAGCAAAGCTAAAATTTTAATGTACTTGTGAGCAATTTCCAGGACCGGCCCCTGTCCCGACACCAAAACACACTTCTCATGAAACTTCTTAAACATCCTGAGAGGACTGTGTGACATGATGACTTGATCTTGAGTGATCTGAAAACAAAACAAGAAATGGAGGGGTTAACAGCAGAGAAGTCAGAGAGGATCAGCCCAAAAGATGGCAGCCTGTTTGATCTGGACACAACAGCCATGAGAGCTAAGGAAGCTGGTTATCACAACTCACCGGCACTCCCAGGATGTGAGAGAGCTGATCTGCTTTCGTCTGCCGGAGGCAGTTCCCTGCATTTGTGACAAAAACAAGCGGCACCACAAACTGTCCCTGAGAGTCGACCAGCTTCTGGAAGGCCCTTTGTGCTGCAGGGATTAGCATCCTTCCTCGGACGAGCACCCCATCGATGTCAAACAACAGCCCGAATCTTGGCTGGGGCTGCAGACAGAGAGACACTGCTCATCAGGAACACCATGTTCAACCAACAGAAAAAGCATGATGCCTTTAGAAAAATGGATGTTGACAGTCCACAATGAAAAATGAAATAACTCCTGCATATGTTTATTAGGTTTATTCGATCTGATCACAAATAAGTCAGATTTATTAGATAACAGGATACATGTTTATTATATATGAGTAATGACACCAACACATGTTAGCAATCAGTATCTTGAAATAGTTGCCAACATTAAATGAGCCTGGAAGAGAATCCAGTGTGTGTGTGTGTGTGTGTGTGTGTTTTACCGTGTCACGATTAATTTAAAAGCTAAATAAACATGTTCTGGGTGTTTTGTTCTAATTTATTGATTATCTAAGAGTAGCACGACACTAAAGGCAGTTTTCTCCTGATGAAGGAACAGTCTGCTGCTGTCAATCATGCCCGCCCGCAGCTCACCAAGTTGGATGAAACGTTGCAGTAATATTAATAATAATAATAACTGTTTGGTCACAAACAACCAGAGGAAAAGGAAGGGACAGTGTGGCCTGGTAAGCAGCAACAGCTCCAGCCGTACCTTGTTAGACTGAGTTCCGCAAAACCCGCACCGAGAACCGACGACCCCAGCTTTTTGCCTCGCTGGACGGTTACTCAGGGTGTGCAGGTCCCGGAAAAGCGCCGAGAGTCTCCTCATCTCCTTTTTATCTTACGGGGTTTTAAAAATAGAAGAAAGAAAAGTATTTAAATATATATATATAATTTACAGTGAGCTTTAGTGACGCTGGAGCCGGCTCGCACCGGCCGAGCTCGCGCTGGCTTCTTTTTTTTTCCCCTGCTGCTGTTTTCCGTGGCTCCAATGTGATTGGACCAGAGGTGGTGACGACACATGAGGAGGAGGAGGGTCTCCATGCAGCCGCATCCCCGCTGCCATTTTAGACTCCTAGATGGGGTTTAGCAGGCAAATCCAGGGATCACAGCAGCTGAGCTGAACAAACATCTCTGATGTTTCTGATTTCAGCAGCTCTTTTAAACGTTAACACAATGGTGCATTTACTTCTTAAAGCTCCTCTTGAGTAATAGGAAACCAGTTGGTCGACCTGCTCCATCTTTACACATCTGAGGTCACATCCACCATGCCATTTTTCTGACCTGTTTTTAAACACACAGACACTTCCAAGCTGGCTTATTTGCATAAATACTTTACTCACAGACATGACCAAGTGTCCTAGAAGGGCATGATGTAATGTCTAAAGGGTGAAAGACAAAGAACAATCACTTTAGTGTTATGCTGTTATTTAATATAGAAATGATGATCCACATCTCCTCTTCTCAGTCCGGTGGGCTGGAGCTATTGGGCATCCACTCAGAACCTGGTTTTGCATCCATCTGCTGTTTCCTTATGGGAAAACTTCACTAACTAGTATTCTATTGCAACTAAACTGGTATTGCCTGCATGAAACTGGTTTCAAATCTTGAGTGGCAATGTTTTTCACATAACTTTAGCTTAGCAATAAATCAATATATTTATATTTATTTCCCTTCTATAACAAATCAAAAAGGCCTAGTAATATGAGTAACAAGACTGGAAGACCAGAGTTCAAATCCCGGTCAGGTCATACCAAAAACCTTAACAATGGGACCAATGCCTCCCAGCTTGAGGCTGGTTTGGGGGTTAAACCACCAGATAGTTCCCGAGCACAGCCACTGCTGCAGCTCACCTCTCCCCATAGGGATGTGTCAAATGCAGAGATACAATTTCACCAGTGTGATGACTAATGGGAAAGCCCAAAATCATTTTGTTTTAACAGCATAAAAACAATAAATACAATTCCTTCTCAAAACAAGCCTTGATGCTAAACGTTACTCTAAAAACAGATGAAAGACTTCTCCCCGTGCTCCTCCAGCTTTATTGATAGTTTAAAATTACATTTCTATTTTTTAGGACTTCAGTTGCACTTTCCTTCCGACTTAAAAACTGAGTACAAGCAAATGGTATTTATACAGTAGTCTAAGTGATATTGTACAAAAATAACATTTTTTTGATTTCTGTGAAAACATTTAATTCCCAAATAACTCCTAATTCTGCTGACAACTGCTCTTGATGTTAAATTTTTGCCAAGGTAGAAAAAAATAAAATAAAAAAATAATCCAAAGCCATTTTAAAAGAACAAAGCCTACCTTGGACTACCAATGACTTTTTTTTAATTGTAAACAGATTTCTACAAAAGAGCATGTTTCTTTTATTAACTCCAAAGTTTTCATATCTTCATGTTATAGCGTTGTTTGTTACCGCCCACTTGTAGCTGCTTGTGGGGCTGAAAAGCATCATGTTATGAACTGTTTCCATGTCATACTCTCTTGGCCAACTCATATTCCACTAAAACAAACCAAAATAACCACACATGGATGTTTGGTTTCCATTTACTCTCTTCTTCCGTCTCACTTTAGTGAGACACATGTCCACTAGCTCAGAGGTCCTATAGATTCCCGTATGTTTCGTCCTTGCTCATCACCAGTGGCCTGGAAAGGGGGTTTTCGTTAACAAAGCATTACACATAACACCGCTACCAAACTAAAACATTTTTTGTACTGAATGCAGAAAGATATTTTCACCCCTTTCATTGTATTACATGACGAGAGGCTCACAGGCCTGGGACTAGCCTCTGTTAGCCAACCTTTGGCCAGTGAAGAGGATTCAGAGAAAATAATACAACCAACCATCAATCTGAAAAAAAAGGAGGGGCAACAGAGGGCGCTGATTATGCGGTTGCTTCGATGGTGCACTCTTTTGCCAGGTGGCCTGCTTTCCCACAATTGTAGCAGTTAGTCTCGCTGGCTTTACTGCAATGCACAGCAACGTGACCAATCTCACCACACCTGAAGGACATAGGAGCGTCTCAGTGACGGTTTCAAACGCAGATGGCCAAAGAAAAAAATACAAACACCCAGACAAAAGTCTCACCTGTAACATTTCACCTTATCGCAAAGCTTCTGGATGTGACCAAACCCGCCGCAGGAGTAGCACTTCTGCTCGTTGGCGTGATCGCAGTCACGGGCCATGTGGCCAGCTTTGCCACAAGTGTAGCAGAGCTGCTCCCTCTCCTTTCTCGGCTCCTTGCAGTCCCGGGAAATGTGACCACTCCTGTGACAGTTGTAGCATGCTAACGACAGGAGATAATCAGTTCTCTTATGCAAAGAACCCCACGTTGAAACCAAGTATCAGGTACGACAATACACACCATCCTCAGTCTGGTCGCAGTCCCTGGCCATGTGACCCTGGTCTCCGCACCGATAACAAAACAAATCTGAAACAATAGAAAGTCAAGGTTAGTTTTATTCCTTGCAGTTGTCTAATGATTCATATAAATGTCTCAAACTGCAGCAGCACATTAAAAAAAAGCGTGCGTTACCCTTGCCCCGTCCTCGTCCCCTGCCACGTCCACGCGAACCACTGGCATTAGGACAGTGCTTGACCCAATGACCAGATCGGCCACATCCAAAGCATTCGCTGTTGCTGCTCGTCTCCATTACCTTAAGAAAAACAACTCACAAGTAAACAAAACTATATCCCACCCAACCAGCAGTCTACAACTGTATCAGCTTTGCTGCTGTACATTTCACCTGAATCAGGCTACAGCAGAGAGAGCTTAGAAGAAGAAAATATAATTTCTATAGCGCCTTTCAAGATAAAAATCACGAGGCACTTCACAAAAACAAAAAATGTAAAAATATAAAAAAGCATTTAGAAAATGTTTAAAAGCTTAGTCATATTTGGGGCCAAAATTATTTCAATAAATGTGATTTATTACTGAAAATTTACACCTGAATGCATTTGTCATAGCCCTCAACCAAAGCTAAACTAAAGTAAGATTTCTGTGCAAAAAATGTATTGTTTTGTGTCTTGAATGCTATTTTCCAAGGGGTCTGAATGGAAGAAAACCTGCTTTTGTCAAGACTAAGTGACCAACCATGGGACTCTACTCTACAGCAAGTTAGGGAACAGTCCACACAGCACTTGTCTAACTACGGAGCTAACTTACAGGACTTCCTCAGCAGTGGTTTATGATCTCCATAGGACAAACTTCTGTTTGCTGAACAAATTAAGCCCAAAAGTCGAGTTATTGAGCCTTTATGATCCATGCATTAAAAGGACGCTAGCATAACGCAACATAACGTGGCAGCTAAATATAAACCTCTCTGAATAGCTACACCTCAGCGTTTAAAATGGTTAATGAAAGCTGGGACTCGACTTACAGACCGAGTAACGTGACACTTTCACACGAGGGCTGAATGGAGAATTCGGTGAAAAGAGTTGAATATTCCGTGTTAACTCTGAGCTACACGCTGCAGACTAGCAAAGGAGAGACCACGATGAGAACATGCAGCGGTGGGCTGACGGAAAGCGCGTCGCATCGTTTTATTTATTTATTGTCCGAAACTGCAACAAAGTCCAAGTCTGATTACAGATATCACAACGCGACTTGCAATAATACTCAAACTGCTTAGTTATTTAATGAAAACTGACCAGAATGTGACCTAGTTGTTTATGGACTCCTCAGACACAAAAAAAAAAAAAGAAATGCCAAAGGTTGTAGTGCCGCTAACGTCGGCCTAGTCACGTTGATTTTTCTACGCCCTCGCGAGACACGGGTGCGTGTTAGCAGCTAGCTCAACACCTCACGAACAAGAAACACGCATCAGTCGACGATCAATCTCCGCTCTCCCGGGGACCGTGTCCATCAGACACTTATAACGACAAATATCCGCGATAGATGTGTGTTCGCTTGCGTTCGAGGTGAATTACGTTTAAAACAATATTTCCCGCCAGGGCGCGCACATCAAAGTGACAAGCTAACATTAGCAGGCCGGACAGAGCGCCCGATGCTGAGTTAGTGAGAGCAAACAAAATCAAACCAACGCGTATTCAGGTAATAAAGAGAACTAAACGTTTAGGCTTCAACTACGGGCGCTTTAAATACACGGTATCTGCACACTTATTGTATATAAAATATCTGTTATTGCACAAATTTATTACCGTTTTGTTGCTTACCTTTGCGGCTACCTAGCTCCTAGCTATGTCACTGTTTACGCCTCCTTTGCGCTACATGCGGTGCCAGCAGGAGTTCCTGAATTGTCATTCACATTATCCAGTAAAAAGTTGCGTAGTCATTGGTCGCAGGTGTCGCAAGTAGCCAATAGGAAGCCGTGATGTCTGGACACCGCCTCTGTGAACTGACCAATCACGAATAAGAAACGGTCCTCCTTTCCCTTTCGGTCAGACCAGTTTCCCTTATTTCTGCCAAAGTTTTAAGTGGGAAAAATATTTATGACATACATTTATTACATTATCTAGTGACTGGGTCTGTAACTTCCTACTACTAAGAAACATGTTGCTATAATAATTATTAATGTAAGCATGTGGGTTGTAGCTTTTAGTGTTAAATAAAACTTTTCAATTCTATTACCCAATAAAATGAGTTAAGACGTGGTTGCATATTTAAATTAGTATGTTATTCTGTGATTAATTTAAATATCCTAATGTGATGTGTGCAGAAGATGTGCATTCCTAAACATATTTACATTACATCATTCAACAGGGTCTGCATCTGCGGCTCTGGGGCCTAAAGCGGCTCTTCAGCAACATCTGCAGTGACTGATTTTAGCCTAGATAAACAGTTAAGATATAGCTTTAGCTGTAGCTGTTTACATATCTAACTTTATGATAACAGACATCATTATTATATTCTACATAATAGAATGACAACACAGTTATACAAATACTACAACTTTGCACACATTTTCAGATTCATATGGCACCCCGAACAATATTTTCTGCGATAACTATAGCTAGAAATAAAGTCTTGGCATTGATTAAATATACAACCTGAAATAAGTGAGTCATTTTTATTTTAGTTAAATAATCAACGAGCTGATCAAACTCTTATAACGGTAAATGGCCTGTGTTAGTATAGAGCACCTTCTAGGGTTCTGCACCCCCCAAGACGCTTAACAGCCACCCACCCATTGCACACCATCTTCTCCCTGATTACTCATTAGAATGCAAGCATGTACTTTATTTTTTCTAAGTGGGATACATTTTAATTTTCCATAATTATAAAAGCTTGCATTTAATTATGTACAAAAAGATTTGGTAATGCATTTGCAGTAAGGAATCAAGGAAACATTGTTTTCTGTTATTTTATTACAATCACAAATAATTAAGAAACATTTTAACATCCAGATTTTGAATAAATGATTTCAAAAGTACAAAAAAATACCAGGAAATAGTATTATTCCCGTTTTTAAGGCTTTATAGTTATGATATAGGAAGAGGACTCATGAAGACAGTTGTTGAGAGCTGGAAGCATCTCTGCTAAGCAGACTGAGTGCTCAGATCAATAGGTGGAAGAGACGCTTTCATCACTCTTAAGGTGGCATTGGCTGGAAGGCTTCGGGAGTGAGTTTTCTGTTTTCTGAGGTCTTAATTTAACAGATTGCTGTGTTTCAAGAAAAGCAGTAAAACATATCCTCCTAATTCTGAATTGTTTTTACGTGTTACATGTCTTTTGCTGAATAAACACAGGGGTAACGTTGCATGTGCAGTGGCATACCTTAAAATGCTCCTCAATGACAAAGCCCTGCCCTCATCCTCTCAGCAACAGTATTTGGTGTTTCTGTAGTTGTCAGACTGAGGACTAGTTAGGAGATTCCATTGTTCTAGTATTGAAATACTGGGTTTTGCTAAATTTGATATGTTGGCTGAACAATGTGCTGGTTAGCTGGAGCAAGGCAAGGGTTGTGTTTTGATCTCTCTCCAAAATGGTCTGAATCATCTTTATGCTTAGCCCATCGGGATGCATAAAGGAGTTTGCTTCAGTTCCAGATGGTGTCAAGTCCAGCCTGCTGACAGGACCTTCGAGCCATCAGTGATTTGGGTACCTCAGGGGACCCAGAGCAGGATGGTGAACACATGGTGAGTGACTTCACAGTGATATTATTTCAGGATCACATTTGGTTGGGTACATTTGCTTTAATTTGTTGGAAATGGTTTAATGTAAAAAATAATAATAATAATTTTAAGATCAAGGGAAAGGAGAAGTCAGGGTGTTTCCGTCTACTGGACTTTAGGGGAATTTTTAAACCAGTGTAGCAGGCACATCCTTCATCTAAACTTAAATAATCTTTGACAAAATGTGACCAAATACAAGAAGCCACGATGCTGTCGAGTCCACGGGTCGCCAGCAGGTGGCGCGCATGGACATAACACGAACAGCTCCTCCAACCAAAAGCAGTAGTTACTCATTTATTTGCTCCTTGAAAAACTACAAAGTTAAATAACCTAACTTAAAAAATAAATGAATAAACATACATACTTTTATGTTAAATGGCATTTGCAAAAATGTCACCTTCGTTTGTGCGCATATAGACCGATATAGACACGCATATTATAAAACACCATCTCGGTTATCTACAACAGGACTTTGAAGTGTGCAAAAAGCTAAATGGTTGCAAAATTATGCAGAGAAGAATAAAACCTGAAGCTGTCCCGAATGGGAGGGCTTAAAGGGCCTGGTTGCGCAGATATGATGCTTGCAGGTCTTGTTATGACTGCAAGGTCCTGTTTCACTCTCTGGCGTCAGACGGACGCACAACAAGTCGAGCCGCGTCACCTTCTCCAACAACGTGAAGATCGATTCAAACGGCGTCGCTTTAGCGGGGAACCCATCGGACTTGTACTTTCAGTGTTTTTTCTGCATCAGGGAGAAAATCCACCGTCGTGTCACTTTGAAGGACCGACGGATTTCTCGCTTTTGTCACGTCCGGAAGACAAAACCTTGTTTTCCGTTGCTTTAGATGAATTTTTTCCAAGAGCCACCTGTGACCTTTATGTTTTACAGTAACTGAACTGACTTTCTGCGTTTACAGGAGCGTTTGGGACTAGTCGAGGACTCGCTTTTGGTCTTTTTTCCCACTTTTCTTTGAATGCGTTGCAGATATGATGATGTCACCGACGCCACTTTTTCCTAAAGTTATGGCGGAGCACAACTTTTTGAACTTCTCTTGGTAAGCATGTACGATCTACCGGTCCTAGCACTTCACTGCTATTGATACACGCTTGAAAGCCGAACTTTTAGTGTTAAAACCGGTTCTTTTTCAGACACATTAACACAAAATACAGGTTAAACCATTAAAAACCGAGCAGAAGTTCAGTTCGCTGTTTCAGGGAGGGCCTGCTGGCTGCTTTGCTGTTTTTGGTGAAACTGTCGAGCTTTATTTAAAAACACACTCGCTGCTACCCTCAACGTATCATTTTAAAGCACGAGAAAACCCACACGAGTATCCCAAATAGCTGTTTGTCCCTTGTTTGGTTTGAATGCTACACACTAGCAGCATTCATGCTAACCTGCTACATGTCAAAATCACATATGTGGACGTTTGATGAAGCAGCCATGTCGTTGTTGTAAACTGAACTCATGCTTGGGATGAATCAAGCGTTTGCAACAAATCTCCAGCGTTTAGCCTGTCTGCAGCAGATGTGCATTAACACAAGTACAGCAGACATGATAACAACACGAGTGTCTTCAGGGTCAGCAGCCTCCTGTATAAACCTGCAGGGTGGTGGTAAACACGTGAATGTCAAGAATAAACAAAAACCTTTTGGTTGTTTACATTAAGCTCAGTAGTTTGTGATGGAAACAATCCAGGTGAGTGGGTTTATTTGATGGCCTGGCCTTTTGTTTTCAGGAAACACATTTTGCATGAAATAGTCAGTTTAGCTCAGCTCATTGTTTTCTTCTTCTGGTTTATTAGCATATATAGGCCACACGCGACTCTTTTTGCGTGTTATAAACTTCCAGCCGAGACAAAAAGACCCGCAGAAACACACAACTCTGCAGTTTGGATTAGCTCAGTGTTTCTGGCTTTTCTCAGTAATTAATATGTTTTTATGCCACAATCCCCACATGCAATCTCTATTTAAAGGTTGCTGGAGGTGAGATTAAGTTTTGAGATTAAACCTTACAGCGCTCTAACCCAAATCTCATGTTTTGCCACTTTCCCCCCCTGGTGTTTTAATCAACCGTGTCCAGGCCAGCAGATGCTGTTTCTCATTGTCAGCATAAACATTGTGTCTGTATGCCCCAAAACATGCATTTCTGCAGCTTTTGTGTTCTAGTTAAGAGAGCCAGTAAATGAGGAATGCACCCACAGAGATGGATGAGATCCAATGTGTTCCTTTGTGATCTGCATAGATTGTTGTGAGTATTTAGTTTTACTGATGGAGCACCTTCAAGGAGCGTGGAGAACCCTGAGTAACGGCTTTGGAATGAAGGACTCTGCGTTTGAGGGTCCCTGCCTTTCCCCGACTATGGTCCAGGGCTTTCCCCACCAGCGACGCTCCTCAGATGACAGCAAGGTGCCAGACTCGAAGGCTAGTAGCACAATCCGTGTCTACCTCCCAAACCAGCAACGCACGGTGGTGAGTTAGTTCTGCATTAGGAAACGCGTTTAGAGTTTCCACATTTAACACGGCGACCTCTGAATTCAGATCATAATTATTTGTAATTTCCCGTGTGTCAGGTAAACGTGCGACCAGGTTTGACTTTGTACACGTGTCTGATTAAAGCCCTGAAGGTGCGAGGGCTGCAGCCTCAGTGCTGCGCCGTCTTCAAGCTGCACCCAGGTCAGAGAAGGTGAGTTCAGGGTTTTTGGACAATTGTAACCAGAAGTAAGAAGATCACATGCTTATGTTTCTCCCCCTTTATTTCTACGGTTTGTTTTCCAACCAGTAGAAAATCTCGGATGGACTGGAACACTGACTCCACCTCTCTAATTGGGGAAGAGCTGCTGGTCGAGGTTTTAGATCACGTTCCGCTGACGACCCATAATTTTGTAAGCACCCGAGTCCTCTGCAGCGCCCTCACCTCCGCGTCCAGCGGCTAAATCAACACGTTCAAAATGCTTTCTGTCATTTCCAGGCTCGGAAGACCTATCTTAAGCTAGCCTTCTGCGATATTTGCCAGAAGTTTCTTTTAAATGGTTTCCGCTGTCAAACATGTGGCTACAAATTCCACGAACACTGTAGCACCAAAGTGCCCACGATGTGTGTGGACTGGAGCAACATCAGACAGCTCCTGTAAGTATCTGAGAGGGGTCTCTTATTATAAAAACAACTTTTGATTAAATGGGGGAAAATGGTGACATGGTGAAGCACAACATTTTTAACAAACAAATTACAAAAAAAATACACCAATTAAAATAAGCAAGTCAGCACACGCACAGTTCGTTTATCTCCCTCGGGCTTTATAATTTGATTTATATTAGAAATGAGCTCACCCAAACTTTCTGCAAAGATGAACAGTAGAAGGAAGCTCTGCTGATATCCCAGTTTGCATAGGGGTGTGCTCATTTGCATCCTGGCACTGCCAAAAAGGCCGTTTTGTTTCATTTTGCATGCAGGCTGTAGATGAACAGTAATTCTGTAAAGATTAGTGTCATTTGCACACTGCTCTGTTGTAAACACACCCTCCTCAGGACTTTAGTCTCTTGTTTCTGTCGGCAGGTTGTGTCCGGTCCCCGGGGAGAGCGGCACCCCGTCACTGCCGCCGCTCACCTCTCGACGGATGAGAGAGTCTCTGTCACGGTTTCCAAGGTGACGTTGCTTCTCTCTACTTATTCATCACAAACCCTCTGCAGAAGGATAAAACAAGGTTTTATTATGCAGGTGAAACTGGAACAATACTTCAGAATATGGTCCATTTATTTATGTAATCCAGATTAGACTGAGAGGCCATCTAAAGGCTCAGGAAAACCTTTGCAGGTGTTTCAAGTTGAATTACTGACATAAATGAACTTTTGCACTGTTATAAGTTTAATTACCTCCAGATTAACATCAAGCTGTTGTAGACTAGATTACAGATTAGATGTTATTCGGCTCACATGTGGTCAAGTTTGGACTTTTTTAGGATCATATTTTAATTGTGTTGTATGTGTTTAAAAGGCTGTCTTTGCTTCAGGGAAGCTTATCAGTGGAAGGAATGATGTAACGCCGGGTGTGAAAAACAGCCTGTTGTTTTGATGGCTGATAAAGTGGTTTAAAAAAAAAACCAGGGTTGCTAAATTGGCTGTCGCTGCAAGTTGTTCCTTGCAGAAAAATGCGAAATGCTCGACAGGAATATTAATTCCTGTTGTCTAAAGCGGGACTGCTCATGAAGAACACCAAGGCGAGGTTCTGCTCAAAAACACAAACAGCCGGTTCCTCTGCGCCGCTTCTGGACGATTTCTCTGCAGATCCGAGAGCGGCTTTGCGCTGCTGTAGGATTAGCATATCTGGCTGGAAGGTTTTGTGCTCTTTAACCGATCTGGACACAAAGCCGCTCAGCCACACACGGCTAAAGAGGAAGACCAGTAACAAATACGAGCCCACTAGCTACTTCCCTTAAACAATGTAGTTTCACTCTTTGCTGTTTACCACACAGCTAAGGCATGTAATGGCTTCTGGTGCTGAATGTGTGGCAGTAGTCCAACGTAAACAAGGGTGCTTGACTGAGGAGAGTTAATGAGGCCGCCTCACCCACACCCACACCCTCACCCGAAGATGTGGCCGACAGAAGCATCCACTGCTGGTTTGGTCGTTTTTAGCTAAAGGCTCGATTGTCATCCTGTCACAGCTCAGCCCACCGAAATTCCACCCCCCACGCCTTCAACTACGCCACATCGTACCAACCCACAGGCGGCGGTCTCTCCCAACGGCAGCGCTCCACCTCCACGCCCAACGTCCACATGGTCAGCACCGCCCTGCCCGTGGACAGCACCACCATCGAGGTAACAAGTTCTGGCTGCAGCTCCTAAAATCCCTCATGTCCTAAAATGTCGTCCTCCTCCTCTCATCTGAGGCCTTCCTGCTGTCCACTCCTGCTTCAGACCTTTATTATTATTATTATTATTATTATTATTACACCTGAGCACAATCTCTCTTCCTCTGACCACATTTTATTTCAGCATGTTTTAAATGCTCTTGCACATTTCCCACACTTCCGCTTGTTCACTTCCACTTTAGGCGTTATCTCCATCCTTAGTCTTGCACAACCACCTCACAAGTGGTTTCATAATCCACCTTTTTTCTGCTCAGGTAGGAATCCACATGTTCTTCCTCTCTTTCCTTGACTCTGTCCCCTTTTGTCCCTCCTGTCTCCCTGTGGGTCTGTTGTTTTGTACCCTACTGGAGAGCAGCTAGACTGCTTGAATACCTCTCCCGTCTTCTGGTGCCACAGATTCTGGCTGAAGAGGAAAGTAGGTATTGTGCACTTCTCCCAGGCTTTTGTGGAGACCTCACCTGTGAGTCCAGGACAGGTTAGAAAGCAGAGACTCTGTGTGAAGCGCATGTCTGCATTCTCATCTTTAGTCAATGCAGCCGTCAAATCATCAGTGGTAGCACGTCACATTTGTGCTAATTTGATCATTTATTCTAATATAATGTTTTTTTTCCTATAGCATGTGATGCGTGATCATGACTCTGGTAAGTACCCGTTCAGCCGTCTTCCTGGTTTCTAATCATGCACATGTAATAGTCATTTAGAAGGAAGTGATGTCCAATCAGACTCGGTGAGACACCCGTAGCTGTCCACAGTGCTTTAGCATTGGTGTTCATGTTGGCGTAAGAGAAGGGATGTTAAAACCAAAACAAAGCTTTGAGAAATAAATCTGTTGATTTGGAAGTAGGCTGGTGGGTTTGTTGGGTGTTTGCCGAGACTCGACGCCCCCAAACTCCCGAATTTACTAATAGAAAGACTCCAGGTCATCAGGTGTTCTGCGTTACCCCAACCGTTAGCTGCAGAACGACCCACGGGGTCGTAACAGTGCTAATAATCACTGAGCTGTGACTTAAGTCAAAATGATGAGTGACAGAAGTAGTGGAAGGAAGTTTGATGCAGTATGAAAATTACAAAATAAAGAATAAATAACTTATTTGTTTTCACAGCGGGAAATTCCCCCAACCAGAGCCCCACAGGCTGGTCCCAGTCCAAAGCTCCCCCGCCTCACCAGCGTGAAAAAATCACCTCCTTCAGCAATCAGGAGAAAAACAAAATTGTGAGTCAAAATTTCTGACGTGTGTGTTAGCCGAAGCTTCTGTGTTCAGACCTTTTTGCTTTCTCTTCTCGCAGAGGCCCCGGGATAAGAGAGACTCCAGTTATTACTGGGAGATCGAGGCCAGCGAGGTGTGTCTGCAGTCCCGCATCGGTTCGGGCTCTTTTGGAACAGTGTTCAAAGGAAAATGGCACGGTAGGAATGCAGTTAGCATGAGTCAGAACCTCTCACACGGTGGCTTAGATGTTGACAGATGTGTTCAGGAGTTCTTCGACTCATTAAACGCGTGAAAAACTACAGCTTCATGCATCATTTCTTGTCAAACTAGCCCTGTAGGGCCAAAATAACCCAAAGTTGTGCATTTTTGTTGCAGGTGACGTAGCAGTGAAGATTTTAAAGGTCACCAACCCCACACCGGAGCAGTTCCAGGCGTTCAGAAACGAAGTGGCAGTCCTAAGGTTACAGCTAGTTCCACACCAGCTAACTGTTAAAATCTTAGTTTAGCTACAAAATAATGATTTCCTCTTCCCCTCCACCCCTGGTTGCAGGAAAACGCGACATGTGAACATCCTTTTGTTTATGGGCTACATGACGAAGGACAACCTGGCCATCGTGACCCAGTGGTGCGAGGGCAGCAGCTTGTACAAACACATTCACGTCCTGGAGACCAACTTCAAGATGATCCAGCTCATCGATATTGCCAGGCAGACGGCTCAGGGCATGGAGTAAGCTTAAAAAACAACGGCAAGTTACAGATAAATCAGATGATGATAGCTTTGTCCCTCTTTTCCAGCTATTTACATGCTAAGAGCATCATTCATCGTGACATGAAGTCCAACAGTATCCTTTCTCTGAACGTCTCACAGTGAGTGAATAAAAACGTCCCACTGTGTGTTTGGTTATGATTCCCTGACCTCAGCGCAGACATCTTCCTGCATGAGGGGCTGACGGTGAAAATCGGGGATTTTGGTCTCGCCACGGTGAAGGCTAGGTGGAGCGGCTCCCAGCAGGTGGAGCAGCCTTCTGGATCCATTCTTTGGATGGTGAGACACCTGCTACTCGAACCCTGCTGGGACCGTGACGGTGAATGAGGAAGACTCTCCGTGATGATTCTGTTGCTATTGTCATTGCCAGGCACCCGAGGTTATCCGGATGCAGGATAATAATCCCTACAGCTTCCAGTCTGATGTGTATTCCTATGGAATTGTTCTCTTTGAGCTGATGACGGGAGAGCTCCCGTACTCGCAGACGGCGAACAGAGATCAGGTAAACACCTTAGTCCCTGTGTAACCCCACAGTCGGACGTGTGTCAGAGCTCAGGCCCACCGTGGAGCTCAGGAGGGGTGAAGGGGGTTGTGGAGCTGGCCTAAGGCCTGACATGCAGCCCAGGCGGACTCTGTGGAGCCGCTGGCCTAATTTTAGTCCTCGTAACACAACCCTGTGGGAGGGAAGAGCATTAAAGCACGCGTGTAGATGTGTTGGTCCTCTCAGGCCACGAGGTCCAGCCTGACTTATGGAGATGAGACGAAAGCTCTGGACCACTTTCCAGGTACTTTGTTCTGCTGAGCTGCCTCTGGTGTGCTAGGTGTCTGACACCGTAGACGCACGCACTGTAACTAAAGAATGACTGCTGATTCACCATCGATCAGCTGTCCTCCCACCCTTGCACTGACCTCTGCTGGATTTTTAAACGGGATCGTTTTCCTCCTGGCTCCATATTTATGTCTCCTGTTTTCTGTTCAGATCATTTTCATGGTGGGAAGAGGCTATTTGTCCCCAGACCTCAGTAAGCTCTACAAGAACTGTCCCAAAGCCATGAAAAGGTTGGTGGCCGACTGCATCAAGAAGCTCAAGGATGAAAGGCCGCTCTTTCCTCAGGTGAGCCTCTGGTTCCAGCTGTTGGCAGGATTACAGATGTTCCTGTTGAGTTCATTCATTCATTTACTCCCATAGATCCTGTCCTCCATCGAGCTCCTCCAGCACGCTCTCCCCAAGATAAACCGCAGCGCCTCAGAGCCGTCCCTGCACAGAGCCTCACAGGCCGAGGACATCAACACGTGCACGCTGACCTCCACCAGACTGCCTGTTTTAAGCCTGTTTTAAGCTCTTGGAGAATATCGGCACCTCCTCCTCCTCCTCCTCTCCTCACACGACGGCTCTTCCTGTTCACAAATACACAATCTTAGATGCCCTACAGACATTTGTCATTTCAGACATGCTAAATAATAAATGTGTGAGTTAAAGAGCAAGTCACCCCCAAATCAACAATTTTCTTCTGATAAACTATATAAATGCGTGTCTAATCGTGCTGCAGACACGTGTCGTCAATAGTTTTGCACTTTAGTGCATTTTAGTTATAATTTAAATTTTCTGCCTGAAACTGGCAGTGTTGTGCCGTTGTCAGGTAAAAACTCTGCACTGCATTTGAATTTAAATCTGCCACCGCTATTGGCTAAGAGGTATGCTATGATGTAAACTGGTACATTATGATGTCACAATGCCATTGTGAGCCTGTGTGTGTGTGTTAGCGGCTCCGCCCTCTTGGTCTGGTTGGCAACAGCATTTGTTGCATTTTTTAAACGTGAAGTGGGAGTGAAGTAAGTTTCTAGTAGGGGGTGACTTGCTCTTTAAAGAGAAGAGAAATCCTTAGAGGGTCAGGATATGGTACATCCCCCTATTAGGAGGCAGAACGAGGCTTCGTGTTGGTGAATTATTTGTAAATAAATAAATACACCCGTGCTACCTAAGATGACGGATGGACGCTGAAGGAGGCTCAGGAGGCACACGCCATCCTTTTGATCAAACCTCCCTGGTTTACGACGAAGAGGACTCTTATTTTTTTTAAGCTTACCTGCCTTAAGAGGAAACAACCTCAACTGTATTTCTGCACAATCTCACCTCCTCTGGTTATCACAAAGCCGTTGGAAGTTGTCCATCTTATTGCACAGTAGCAGATTACGTCTTAAATCGTAACGGACTAGACTTGGGATTTTTGTTTGTGTAACTTTACTTTTGGGTTTTGGATCCGGTCTGTCAGCGAGCGTCTCACTAGACCGAACCCTCCGCGTCGCGAGCTGGACGCTCGGCAGGTGTCTTAAATATTTAAAGTGACTTGGGAACTAATTTGTTTTGTTATGTCACACTGATGAGGTTGAATGTTTTATTTGCTATTTTAATAAAGTTAAGTTAAAAAGCCAAGAACAGATTCTTCTTGAAAACAGATGTGTGTGTGTGTGTTCATTACATGAGCCTTCATTACATGATATTTGTGGGTGAAAACTGATTGTAATCTATTCTTGTGAGCTGAAGTCCCACTCGTGTGCACAGTCTTTTATCAGGATGTAGTGTTTGTTGTGGCGCCATGGCAACAAGGTGCAGCCTCGCAGGAGATCCAGCCTACTCAGGGCTTCCACCACTGGCTGATCCCTCACCGACGGGCTGAGTGCAACAGCAGGACAGGGACTTGGCCAGGGGCAGAGGACAGTTGTACTTTGTTGATACTAAAACATTCAGCAGACTGAGGCTGTGGGACATCACAGCTCAACGTTCAGGTTTACAGTAAATACACAAATGTTTGTGTTTAGCTAAATATGGCAATGACTTAAAAAATCTTTCACAGACAAGAATTTGGCCAGATGCTTTAAAAAAAAGGGCTTAATTCTTGTGAATCTTTCACACAGACGGAGAGTTCATGTTGCATCAAAAGTGTTTCTTTCTGAAACTGCCCTGCTAAAGGTTTATCTGTTCTATATCTACATCCTGACTGACTCGATGCCCTACTTCGTTGTCATGCAACGTCTTCATCTTTTTTGTTCTGATTTGAGTTTTTGCAAAAGGAAAAGTTTTCAAAACAAAATTGGTTTAGCTTAAAATAAACGTTCAGGTTGCTTACAGGTTAAAATAAGTACAAAACCTGGATTATTAGAAATTAATAATGAACATTTTTTGAACACAGATTCCGTGAGTGGAAAGCAAATTACTGACGCTTCACTGAATCACCTGTTGGTCGCTTTTCGTTACCCCCAAATACTACACGACACAAAACCCAGCCTAACCTGTCACATGAGAGGAACATCGACATCAAAAGGGCCAAAAACTGCACACCCAGCTTTAAATGATAGGTGACGTAGGAAACTGGCTCTGTAGCTAATTACTGCTGCAAATAACCTTAATGTAAAGTAGTAGAATAATAATATAAAACAGTATTTTGTTGGACCGCCTTTAGCTTTGATGACATCATGCATTCTCTGTGGCGTTGTTTCAATAAGCTTCTGGAATGTCACCAGATTCGTTTTTATCCAGTGTTGCATTAAGGTTTCACCAAGATGTTGCACTAATGATGGTAGAGTCTGACCGCTGCACAGAGCCTTCTCCAGCACATCCCAAAGATTCTCAATGGGTTAAGGTCTGGACTCTGGTGGCCAATCCATGTGTGAAGATGATGTCTCGTGCTCCCTGAACCACTCTTTCACTATTTGAGCCTGATTAATCCTGTCATTGTCATCGTGGAATATCAGGGAAGATGGAATAACCTGGTCATTTAGGATATTCAGGTAGTCAGCTGACCTCAGTCTTGGAGCACATCCTGTTGCTGTAGCATTTGTGTAAGTCACTGTAAAAGTCTAACTGGCTGTTAGCCTATCAGTCGTTTTAGTACTAATCGGTTTCTCCAAAGTGAAGTTGTTTTCCAGCTTTCCACAAAAGGTAAGATTTTAATTATTCATGATTTTTCTGCAGAATCCCACTTTAGAGGCCTGAGCTCTTGCTTTAAGTGTGATATTTAAATATTCTGCTGATTCAGTGTAAACAGTGAGAGCACCATTGCCTGGTGGACAGATCCACTCCCTCCAGACAATGCAGACTCTGAGGAATACAAAGTCAGACTCAGATTTAACAAATGTGACTCACTCAAAGGCGATACACTCTATCATCAAAACTGTTAGCATTAACTACTCTTTGTTTGGGTTTTCACATCTGATGGAGTAACAAGAAGCTACAGGAAATGACCTTGTTTTAGTGTGTGACCATCATGTCCGAGAGTGTTTAAAATCTGCTGAAAAATGGGTTTGATTGTTACCATAGTAACAGAGATGCTGCAGGCCTCCTGTGCATCACGTCCACCACTAGATGGCAACAAAAATAACACATTTTCCCTGAGTTTTGTATTCATGTTGCGTACTAATATCATCTAGCTTTATTTACTAACTAGTTAGTTGACTCATCTTCAGTTGTGCTGTTTTGATGTTGCATTTAAATTTTGCTGCATCATCAAAGTATCTGTGCTAAACACGTGATTCTGCTGAATAAACAGTTAATAATAACACAAATCCCTCATGATTTTAATTAGGTGCTTAATAACTGTATTTTAGACAGTATTCAGTCTTAATCTTATTTATATCTACGTTTGCTTTTGAAGCCTAAATGTTTTTCACCAGAAACCTCTTCGTTCTCCATCACGAGTCGGACGTGCTCGCCCTCTGCTGTGCTCTTCAGACAGATGGTCCATGCAGTGCTGAGCTCTTCCATGGGGCCCAACTCGTTTCATGTTGTGCAGCAGCTTGGCAGACATCTGGGGAGGGTGGGGGAGTCTAGACGGGAGCTCCTCAACCAGAACTTCTAAAAACCCACGGCGCCGCTGCTCTGGGCTCTCCAGTACCCTGTGAAAACTCCAGGATGGGTCAGTGTGAACAGTTGCATCACACTGAACATATTTTTATCAGTGGGAGATGCTGATGTCTGCTGAAACAACGTTGACATTTCTAGGATAATTAACAGATGGATGACTTTAGGCTCTCTGCAGTATCTTTAGTATTAAACACTCCCCTGCAGTTCTATGTTACTACTTTAACAGCAGGGCTTCGACTCATCACTCACCTGTGGGCAAAACAAGCTGTAGCTTTCAACGACAGCTCCTTAGAGTGACTCAACAGCTGGTTCCTGTTGGGTCTGAGACCTGCCGCCCATCACCAAAGTCGTTTAGTTCATTCCAACATCTTGAGTTACAGAGTTGACCTTTGGTGTGCCCTACATTATGGGACGCTCGAGTGGATAACTGCTTTGTAAAAACAATATTAGATGTCAAAGCACAATCCTAGGCATGTTAGGAAAAGCACACATCCACCCTCTGCTGTTGTCATAGCAACCAGTTTGTATGTGCTGCCATGTTTCGTTTGTTGAATCTTGGGATGGGACACTTGGGATGCTGCGTTTAGCATGTTTCTGCAGAAACACATATTCAATGTTACACACCCATAAAATATAAAAATAATGCCAAAAATTAAAAAAGGCTCAGACAACAATACAAGATTCTACAATCAAAGATCTGCTCGTGCGCTGAAAACAGAACAATGTGCATGGTGTTGTGCAAGAACTACGGCTGGTTCTTTGTTGAATTGTATAGTTAAATGATGGAATGCATTTGATCTCTTTCGGAGTCCATGTTTAATTAATCAGAACATTTATAATTGTTTTAAACTAAACTAAACTAAATTATTTCATGGGGCAATGGTTTTATTAAAATATGCGATATTTTTTATTATGTAATCACGCAAAGGAAGCAATGATCCAAAAAATATTAATAAAACTGGCACTAGCCACCTGTGGTGTTGGGATTCTACATCAAAAGACGTGGACGGGACTTGATGCAGCAGGTTTGTGAGGACAGAACTTCTGTTAGAGGTAGAAATC